AGTATTGTCCCCATAGCAAAACAATGCAATGGTGGGACCAAACTTTAAAAATGGTTTTCTTCCCTAAAACAAAAATGACTTCGATTAAACTTTCTGTGAACAAAGTCGCTATATGCTTCTCAATCTTACGCGCTTTTCTCCCGATTTTTTCTAGGACCACCTTAGGGTGCTAAAGACGGCTTAACTTTGGCTCTCTCAAGCTTGGATTAGATCTCTCAAGCATTGGAATAAGCCATGTAAATATGCTTTTTTTTTTCTTTTTAATAAGCCGTGGAGGCCCCGCCGCGGTGGTCTAGTTACTAAAGTACTCGGCTGCTGACCCGCAGGTCGCGGGATCAAATCCCGGCTGCGATTCCGATGGAGGCAGAAATGCTGTAGGCCCGTGTGTTAAAATTGGGTGCACGTTAAAGAACCCCAGGTGGTCGAAATTTTCGAAGCCCTCCACTACGGCGTCTCTTATAATGATATGGTGGTTTTGGGACCTGAAACCCCACATATCAATCAATCAACTTAGACCAAAGTGGTGTTTTTGCCAAGTACAGGATTTTATTTTAGAGCCTATACGCCAAACATAGGCAAAACAAATATGTTTGTAAATAGTATGCTTTATGGAGAGTTTGATAAAAATAATTTATGGATTTTATCGATGGTTGTGTTTTATATAAAAATCCTCGAAGCCACTACAACTTACTCAGTTTTGTCTACCTCTAAAGAGTGAAAGTTTTCAAGCTATCATAAGCAACTGTTTTATAATGAAAGTATGTTGCTCTAAAAACGCAAAAAAGCAAGTATTGAAATAATGCCTGAAGTGGTCAAGTTGAAGAGAATTTTTTTCGTACCTGGTTTTCCACCATTTCATGAATTTAAATGGTGGTCACGGGTGCAAAAATAGTTTTTCCGCTCAAAATATCTCGGGAAAATACTACTTTAGAACTAATGTCTATATGTGTGCAATTTTCTCAAACTATTCGAAATTGATTTTCGGCGAGCACCCTGGTTGGGACAAATGGAGTGGAATGGCCCATATATTAAGGACAAAAGTTTATACTTCAGGTTAAGAGCTCGTTTACCAGTGTTTGACAGAATATTAATGAGATATATTAGCATTATTGTCTGTTATATCACACAGACACACACACTATATATATATATATATATATATATAGAGAGAGAGAGAGAGAGAGAGAGAGAGAGTTTGCAAAAAGTGCCCTAAAGTTTGCCTTGTTCGCAAAACCCGACGAAGACTGGTAAGGTAGCATACACAGCAACTCTAACGCGTGCATTCGCAATCACACTGAAGATAAGCTGGGCGTGCAAAGGATAATAAGAAAAAAAACTGCTCATATGTCATGGCAAACTCGTGATGTAGCTTTTTCCTCCAGTGCCATCCCTCCCAGCTCAGCCTCCAGCGTGCTCAAGAGACCGACAGGACAGGAGGAGAGAAGAGACAGAGCGCTGAACTGCCAACAATTTATTTCTTGCGAAGGTCTCCGCTTTTATACAGTCACCAGTCGCAACAGTCATGCACAGAACACAATGATAATTCATTCGCAAGTTAAACCTTGTATGTGTCCATAAGAACAGGTCAGTTGCCAAGGAAGACTTCCTTGAAGCCTTCTTCAGTGCGAAAATGCATAAGGTCAACATGCCGTCTAGGCTAATTGTATCTGAATATAATACCTGGCAAAAATTTGTTGCGCTCTACCTGCAGAAAACCTTGAAATGCCTAGAAGTGAACGATCCATTTCTGGTAAAGTAAACTATCCATTTCACGTGAAGTCCAACAGTTTATTTAGTCGCGTTGGAATAAGACTCTATTCGCCTTCTCTGTAGACGTCAAGGACCTGTACTATTCTATTCCGCGTGACTCATTGTTACAATGCATTGGAGAATATATAGACGAGTTTGGCACCTCAAAATTCCAGACCCAGTCTGGCGTCAGCATCAGTGGGTTTTTAGAGCTTATAAGGTTTTACCTTCAGTCGACGTACATCCTATGGGATGGAAAACCTCAACTTCAAAAATCCGATATCTGTATTGGTTCTTGCATCGCTCCCATCGTCAGTGACCTATTTTTAGGCAAATTAGACAGATCCATTTTGGAAGTTTTCACTAACACTAATGTGATGCACATTTTCAGAAACGTAGACGATTTTTAAATTTTATGGACAACGATGTTGCATCATGTAAGAATGATGCTCTTGCAGTTTTAGACCTGATGCAAAATGGTTTCAAACATTTTGAGCTTACTCATGAACTTTCCGAGAATTGTGAAATCAGGTTCCTTGACTTTAAGCTATTCCTGAATAATGGACGCACTTGCTGGATGTATCAACCACATTAAAATAAGCCCGTTTTGCCATTTCATTCCCTGCATTCAAAATTTGTTAATTTAGCGAGGTATCGCGAAATCTTGTTTCGTGAATGCCCAGCGAAAATACTGTGTGCACAAGATTACAGAAAGCTTTGGTGAGCAATCTTCAAGGCTGACGTCGGCTGGTTACCCGGACCACGTGCAAGTTTCCGTTGCCGAAGGCCTGCTGCGTGAACTTCAGGCCAAAAGGATACGATAACGTAGTCCAACCTGTCACAGCTAGACAGGCTTTCGCCGTGGTTTTGTATATGCACAAGATAGTGCACAATCTTAAGAAACTGGCACAGCGAGTTAATGTGAAGGTGGTCTTTATGGCCCCTCAAAAATTGAGTCGCCTGTGCAAGCTGTCTGTTCCTCCGCCCAGACCCTGTCGTTCAGACCCTGTTCCGTTCAGACCCTGTTCCTGTCATTTGCGCAGGTAAGCACTCTTTATCATGTTATACCAACAAGCCCAATCCTTTGTCTCATGAAAACGACAGAGGAGGGGAAGTTGCTTTCTGAAGCTCCTCTTGTGTTGGCAGATCCTAGAAATTTTGCGGTGGTCGATTCATCGGGCAATAAACCACTTTAATGAAGCCAATTGATGGTTACTTAGAAAACCATTGTAGGGCCCCTTTAAGACAGCGGTATTCCCACCACAAAGTATTTCCTGCCATGCACCAATGGCAGTGGCGTAGGCAGAGATTTAATTTGTTAGGGGCACTTGCTTAATCTAGTGGGAATCGTGCAGGTAGGTGTGGCAGAGTGTCACTTTGTGTGTGTAAATGTGGCCGAGCACCAGCAGTAGCAGGCTGACATGTTCTTGTCGTAGTCTGCGATGTTGGTCAGGCGAAGCGCAATGTTCACACGTATGTTTAATTATTTTGGCTTTGAGACGGGTATTACGAGGTGAATTGACAGTAAATGCAGTGGTTGTGCACACGTCCCAGTCTTGCCAGAAACGTTCACTGCACTGGCCTGTATTGGCGCCACTACTCTGGGTAAGTTATGATCAGATTGTCATCAGCACATGAATTGAAACACAAGTGTCAGTATTACTGAAACAAGTGCGGTTTACAGTGTGGTGTGAAAATCTCGCCTAACTTTTGTTAGCATTTCCCTCTGCGTTCGATCAACGCTTGAATATAGCTTGCTGAATCATAGAAATACAAACGTAATGTTTATTATACTACTATAAAACTAGACTCAACATTGAAACCATAATTGACGTTAACTTGGCACGATGTCTACGTCATATATTCGTTTATATATGTACTGTTATAAAATTGGTCAGCACTGCAGCAACAATTGATGTTGCACCGACCTTACGCCTACCTAGTGCCTTTTTCCAAAGCAGTTTCAAGACCCGACTCTGTGGTAGAATACGCGATTGTCACATGGAACGCTTTGTTTCAGAAGCGTGGCAGTTTGGGCTTGTTGGTAGGCCATGACGATTGTTATAGGTATAGCTCAGAACGACTACAAAGGACAAGAAGACGAGTGCTATGGTGTATACTTGGTTTCAATAGCTGCCAAAATGCCAATTTTTTTTTTTATCTGAGCGTTTGTCTGTTCTACGCTGCAAATGTTCCCTTCTCTTGAAGCTCTCACACTTAAGCCACTGATATTTATCTCCGTTGTTTCGGGGTAGATATCAACTGCCAATCAGCTGTGATCTATACCTGCATAACGAGGCCCACGGTATACAAGTATGTGCCTCACGTGTCTTAAGAAAGGACTTTGAGAAAGTACGTGACAGGATTTTCCCACTATTCAGCTCATGACCACGCAGTCATATTCCTTAAAATCACTTGCCCACGCCCCCACCAGTTTCGAACTACACCAAGTTAAAAAGAGGATCACGAGAGCCACCAGACGTAGTTAGATAGAAACGCCCCAAGTGCCTGCAGTTCACTAAAAAATACTTAGCATTTAAAAAAAATGAGAAAAGACTGGTCTTGCACCTAATCTAGTGCCGTATCCTGTATATTCCTTTGTTTTTGCCATGACACAAACACAAATCCCCAGTACATCCTGTGGATGTTTAGCGCCAAATGTTCAGAACTTTAGTGCACATCCGCAAATATTCTGACGACATATGGTAGACTGTTAATGTGCCATCCTGTGAAAAAAAAAAAAAAAAAAGAGTGTCAAATCTGATGTCCCAGACAAGTCTTTTTCGAACATTCGGACGTTTGCTAGAGTTAAAAATTTGGACAGGAAGCTCAGGGGCACTGGTGGTCGAATTTTAAATGAGGACATCTCTAATAAATATGGAGTTTCTGGAGCCTCATTAAAAGACTTATTAGAAACATATACTGTCTCCTGTACTCTATTTCCATTGCCTGCTCACTTTGCAGGATTGGCAAGCCCAAGTTTGCAGCGCATGCTCCGATGACTTCCAGCACAACCGCTAAAGGAATGTCTTCATAATTTTGTTCTCGACTGCAAGTCAACTTTCAACATACAAAGCTGTCCGATATAGTAAAGAGAGTTTTTTCCCCCTGTGGTAGAACATTGACCTGCTCCACTTTTTACAATACAGTGAATATAGGAAGGCATTTTTACTGCTAAACGAGACTGCTGCAACAACATTTCACTGTGAAAGGGGTCCAGAGTCAAACCAGAAACCAAGTCGCTCACAAGAAAAAAAAAGCTGCACTGCAATACTTTCAATGTGCAGAAAAAGGGTTTAAAAACACAAGTTCATTAAAATAATGCATTATACAAGGACTGTGTAAATAAAAACTAAAAGTCTACAACAAAAAATAAAAGTGTATAAATCAAAATAAAAGTTCATGAATAAAAAAAAGGAATCCAGGGTGTCCTTGTCAACCGCATTGTCTTGGGGGACGAGAGATCAAGGCAGGGCCCCTTGCACACCAGGTCAGGCCGTCTGAAAGTTACAAAAAAACCAATATGACAATACTACTGGTAACAGCCGTAATACGAATTCTGAAAAAAAAATGAAGCATTAGAACTTGGTGCAAGCTGCATTCATTTTAACTAATCAAAAGTTTCTCTAATGTTTTCGATTCTACACTCGAACCTCGATATAACAAACTCAGATATAACAAAATATTGTTTATAGTGAAGTAAATGAAAAATGGTCTTACAATATGTGTAGTGTTAGGAATAAACCTGACAAATTTCCGGATATAACGAACCCGGATATAACAAATATCATTTAAAACAGCCTCTTCGAACCATAAAGCAATCTTGCTGCATCACGCAGGCGATGCTATAAACCACAATTTTCCACTGCACAGCGACATATCCCTGCTTCAACTTCGCAGATATGGGCGAGCGAATGCTATTTAACCTCCCGAAAAATATTTGCTGCTTGCTCAAACCTGTGGGCATGAGCAAGAAACAGTTGCACCGAAAACATCTCGCACATCTTTTTAAGGTACTTTCAATTAGATACGCACTGGAGAATTGCGTTTCCTGTGACTGAGAATTAACAGCTAGAGTGTTCGTTGTTCTTTTAGTGGAGTCATTCAAGACAGCACAAATGTAGCGTGCTCAAAGCTTTGGACTGATAGAAGTTTGGAAACCAATCTTTGAAATTCTGAAACGCTTGCAGTCTATCAAAAAGTACAAGCAGCGTCGGCATACTTGGGAGCTACTGCTTCTTTTTTCACGTGCAGCAATGTTAAAAAATGGCCTTTTGATACCTTCTTTATATATGCGTTTTTAAACTTTACCCTTTTCTATATTAACCTACAGTTGCACTGCACTTCCCATGTTTGGTCAGTCCCACTTATTTGTCACATAGTTCTGACATAGGAACACAGCAGCTGCACATAGTAGATTGCACTCTTCATAAGGCCAAACAGAGCCAAGCCAACACTGCTTTCAGTAGAAAAACATTGGCAAGCATGGTTCCTGAAATCTTATCGAATGCAATATTTACAGTGTCAGCAATCCTTGCGGCATTACGTGAGCCGTGGTGCATTACAACAGTTGCTGCAACGTCTAAAACAACAATATTGTCAACAACAGTGCCCTACTTACCGAGAAATTTAGATAAATGCACAAGAACACATGCGCCGCAGTAGGACACTCAAAATGATTCCGGTGACATCGACCGCCTACAAGCAATCCCTAGTAATCGACCTAGCTGCACTAAATGAAGAACCTTCCGTGCATTAAGAGACGCAATAAAATTCTGCCCGTTCGTTCTTGTTTGATTCGTTAAAAAAAAAGAACTGCCAGTCGTTACTATGGGGAATGGCGCAAATGGTTCAAAAATTCAATTTTCGCGTAGTTACACTGGACATGTGGTGCCATCTAGCGGGGCGCAGTCAAATAAAAAAAAAAGTCTGCAATCTTGGACCCAATGATGGGAAATCAATAAATGGCCATTGTTGCTGCAGCGGCTCCCGCTGCTTTCGGCCTGCTGCTACTAGCACAGTAAAGCCGGGCAACGTTGTGCACGGCAACAGTGACGCGAGTCGGTCCAGTCGATCTGCTTAATTGAGGCGGGTAATTTGAAGTGCGCTAACCAGATGCAGATTAATAAAACGCGATTTTATTTCAGAATTGGCCCTTCCTTGGCACAAAAGTAACTCTACAAGGTTTCTGGACCACTATTTTAACAATCAACGTCGACTTAATAGTTGCTTTTAGTGTCCCCTTAACTTGACGTGACAGCTATATCATACGAGTAGAACCTATGTAATGTTTATGAAATTGGATAGCCAACACTGTAACTACAATTGACATTGAACGAACATTAGCGTCTATTTGAAAAGTAGCTCCGAGAGCTGGCATGGCTTTGTGGAAAATACTCGATAGCCACACAGTATCGGGTTCGATTCCTGCTGTAATCCTGACATTTATTCTTTGCATTCACCGGGTCAACGTTGCTGATGTCAGCTTTTTCTTAATGCTCGTGCGTTAAAATTCCTTACATCTGTTCTTGTCGTTACTGGGTAGATACTAAGGGTCAATCACCTGTGGCCCATACCCACACTGTGCACTGTTCAGGAACATCCCAAAACCAAGATAATGCCACCTCGTGTTATCAGAGACACAGCTGTAGAGGGCTCCCAAAACTTCGACCAGCTGGTGTTCTTTAACATGTGCTTAACCCTAAGCGCACAGACCTCAAGCATTTTCACCTGCACGGAAAGGAACTTTGAACGAATTGACTCATTGTTCACATAGGAGGTCGATCATCTAGCTTCAGTTTGAAGTGAACTATTGCATATGATCACTTTGCTGAAGGAACTATTGTGTTCAAAAATTTGCTCCGCTATGCCACTGTCTGATATATAATTTTTTTTTGCTTGAAAAAGACTCAAAGAAAACAAAATTTTCTTATAACTTCATCCACCGATTATTCTATAATTATGCAAAAACAGAACAATAATGACTTCATAATAAAGTTTTAATTACAGTTAGAACTAATTACAATAATATGCATGTGAATGTATTTTGTCATTATTTCCGTTGCAAGAGAATACAAAGAGCTTTAAAAGAATAGGTAAATTTGATGCATCCATAGGCAGTCCTTCACAGGTAACATCTGACATGTTAAGCATCCGCAATTGATAGCCTTGTACGAATGCTGTTTTGGTGCAAAACGAACAACGTGGAATGACAGAATTTAGGCACCCGGAGCTCACCAAACACCGGTTTCATGGTACCAAGGGCTTTCCTTCTTTGCGTTGAGCTAGACGTCCAACAGCTGGTTCCAGTAGTCAGCTGGCAGGGATAGCAACACTTCCATCACCTGAAAAGAGGTCGAATGGAAAAGAACCCACAATTTGTCATAGCCACATGCGACATAGTGATTCAGTCTTTCCAACAAAAAGATTGTGCAGCCGAAAAATAACGTGAGCAAGTCCCCGTGTCCACTCATCTTTCTCATGCATGGATGTCACAACGATGCTTTATACCAAAAAAAAGGGAAAAAATCTGCACTTACAGCTTTTGCTATGTACAGGTAATTTATGTAATCTGATTAGAAAGTTTTGTTTGGGTTTGTACAAAATAAATGTAATTCAAAAAAAACTAAGGATTAAAGGAACGCTAGCTATAAAAATGACTAGTCCGACTATCATTCTTGGATAAGAATCCTAGCTTGATGCGGATATTGCTGATGAGGAAGTATGTATTTTCAAGTGGTTATGTTTGCTATCGCAGGGATCGAAATTGTTTTGGCGACAGAGTGCTTGTCCTAGTAGATGCGACAATTCGTTCCCAGATAACAGATATTGAGTGCATTGGAAGGGAAATGTTATGGGTAAAGACTAGGCAGAAAATTGGTCGATCAGCATTGGTATGTTCACTCTATCCCTCACCAGGGAGTAAGATTAACGTTCTTGAAAAACTTACCAACGCAATTGAAAGAGTGAGATCTCCACCAATAAATAAGTAATCACTGTTCAATCTTCCAGACATTAATTGCTCACAGGCAGATCCCAGTTCTAGTGCTTGCAGGCAGTCAAGCAAAGAACTGCTAAGGTCATGCAGCCTCTTTTGGTAAACACAGCTTGTTCTAGAGCCCACAAGAGCGACAAATGTTTTAGATTTGCTTTTAACCAATGCGCACAAGTCGACGCGATCTACACTAGTGCTGCCAGGCATACGCAACTACGACGCTGTCCTGTGTAATATGAACTTGCCATACGACGAAATTTAGAACAGTAACGCCCGTAGAATTTTCAGCCATGGCAAAGCACGTATCTCTGATATATCCCTCACTTTAAACTCTTTCTATGACACATTTGAAACGCAGGTGGAATTTATGAATGTTAAAGAGCTATGTCAAACATTTAAAGGGAAAATGCTGGAACTGCGCGAAAAGCATGTGCCTTCATGGTTTCTCGCTGCCAGGCATAGCAAAAGCAAACCATGGTTTTCGTGTGACGTTAAACACAGAATCAGGCAACATGCGCATGTTTACTCTGGTTATAAGAAAAACTCTTCGTTAAGTATGAGAGATAAACTTCAAAATACTGTTGATATGAAAGCAGCCCTAAAAACAGGTAAAGATTAATTCTTTCATACATTTCACCTGCGCATAAAGAAGCACCATAAGAAACTGTGGAAATTCTTTAAGACAAACAGCAAAGACGTCTTATCGATTCCAACCCTTCATAACAACAACACCACCATCCATAAAGATGTAAAAAAAGCTGAGTGCTTGTCTCATTTTTTAGTTCAGTGTATACCTCTCGGGATAACATGACTGACACTTTCGCAGAGTCTTCTGAGGTGGTGGTGGTGGAACAAATGAGTGATATTGTGATTAATCAGCACGAAATAGAGGCTTTTATCAAATCCATCAATGCCTCTGAAGCCACAGGGCCTGATGATTTGTCACCTGCATTGCTATCGTTATGCCAGTGCAAAGTATCTAAATATCTGTGCATCATTTTCAATAAGTCGTTGGGAAAATCTTCATTACCCAATGACTGGAAACTTGCCAACGTAGTGCCCGTTCGCAAGAGTGAGCCGCGAAGTACTTATATATATAGGCCAATTTCACTCACTAGTGTTGCATGCAAATAATTGAACATGTTCTGTTTATCAATGTTATGACTCATATGAACACGCACTCCTTACTTAATTCTCAGCAACACGGCTTTCATAGTCCTTTTTCCTGTAAGTGGAACCCCAATTATACAAATTTTAGGGGAACACGCAAAACCCTCGTATAACCCGGGCGTCGTATAATCAAAAAGCTAAGATAATAGACCGCGACACTCAGCCTTGCCCGAAAAGCGGGCACAGACTGGCAAAATAAGCCCACGGCATCACCTTCTGCCTCTGCAATGAGAGTAGATTAAATTATTGTTGCCAGTGGTAGCTAACGGCAGCAATAATTAGCTGAAGGTGGTCCGAGCGAATCTTTATGCTCAGCCTTAAAAACAATAAAATCCAACGCGCATCTTTCTACCGATAAATAGAGTCCGAAAATTGCCTGCGCGTGAGAACGAAACTGTGTTGCTCTGAGCCTCTCATCAGACGAGTCAGACACAGTGCCATTGCTATCGCATAATGATGACGGACAACGAGTTTATGCACAATGTGTTCGTGCGCGCCTGAGCTGTGCGCGTTGTAATTTGTTGCCTCGTAAAGTGCTACTAGTGGTGTCCTGTTGTTATGAACGTCGACGTCAAGTGAATGTAATTTTGCATGCGAAAGCAACTGCGTCGTGCCCTTATGCGTGCGCAAACCAATGACTGCGAATGTGACAGAGGCAGGAGATGAGCCGTACATCGACCACGAAATGTTTCCACAGACCGAAAATGCGAAAATATAAGCTTTTTGGTCAGCTGAACCTAATCCATGTGGATAAAGCTCGACTAGGTAACGACCCCAGATACATATGCACACGATTGAGGCATATGTAGAAGTGCATGAACTTCGGGAGAATAAATTTTCCATTCGACGAAGACGACTACTTTTCCTGTAGTCCTCCTTGGGGTACGCAAGTTTGTATTTTGCACTCGTATATATTTGGTCAACATGTGATTCAAGTAAAGGTGGTTTTTTTCTTTCCGACGGAAAGTCGACATAAGATGCCGGGTCAGCATAAAACTGCATCGTTAAACCATATGTGGACTTTGCCGGGACCAAACTGACTCGTCGTAAAATGCAGGTCTCCGCGAAACCGGGGTACGTATGATCGAAGTTCCACTGCACAACACAGTTACTTGAATTCAAACACGACTTATCCTCTGCTTTAGATAAGGATTTCTCTGTTGACTGCTTGTTCCGAAATTTTAAAAAAGCCTTTGACGTAGTACCCCACTCTTTATTGATTGAAAAACTAAAATGTATAAAGTGAATGATACGGTTGTCAACGGGATAAGCGAGTATTTGAATTTTGAGAAGGCGAAAGGTTCCTATCAATGATAAGACATCCCGGGAAGTTGATGTGTCCTCTGGAGTGCCTCAAGGGTCAGTCTTGGGTCCGCTATTGTTCCTTATCTACATAAAGGACATTTGTTCAGGTACTTCCTCATATATCAAATCATTTGCTGATGACTCTTCAAAACGATCTCGACACAATTTCTGAATGGTGTGATAAGTGGCGTATGTTCATTAATACAAAATAAAAACAGTGCATAAGTGTTTTACTAGAAAAAAAGGCACCCATGACTCATTTTATACTGTTAATTCAACCAGCCTGCTAACAGTTTGCAAACACAAGCATCTCTGTGTATATTTTACACCGGACCTTTCCTAGAGCCGTCACATCAATCGCGTCACAAGTAAAGCAGGACGTGTGTTAGGTTTTCTGCGCAGAAATGCAAGTGAGTTACCACTTGACGCCAAGACTTAACTACTATACATGTCTAACATTTGATCTATCTTAGATTACGCTTGTGCTGTGTGGGATCCGTGGAAGGCATGTGACGTGTCCAATTTAGAAAGGGCTCAAAACATGGCTGTCCAGTTCGTCTGCTTTGATTGTACCAGAAATTCCAGTGTTTCAAAAGCAAAAGAAAAGCTCGATTGGGAACTTCTAGACAAGCGAAGAGAATATCTGAGGGTGAAACTTTTTCACAACATATTTCATAACCGAACATGTCTGGACCCCTCGCGATAGTTTTGCAAATCGGACCACGTTTCACAGCAACTAGATCATGCCAAGAAAATAAGGGAAATAAGCTGACGCATTTAAAATGTCATTTTTTTCCAGAACGATAGCGTGGTGGAATAGGTTGCCCTCTGAGGTAGCAGAGGTTACTTTACACGAAGTATTTTCATGTTTACTTCAGGGTATAGAGTAGCGTACTCGCGAGGATGCGTAATAATGGAAAGGTACTGTAAAGCTGCTTTGTATTGTGTACTCCTGCGTGCCACTACATAGTTGACAAAAAAGTGTGTTATTATTGTGATGCAGAAGTGTGAGTATTTGTATTCTGTGTTGAAATTTTGTATTCTCTCCCCCCCCCCCTCCCACTGTAATGCCCTTGGGCGCTGTGGGTACAATGATAAATAAATAAATAAAAATAGTGCTACTTGTGCGAACGAAACCATGCTAGGGTGGTGGCCGCTTTTTTTCTTTTAGAGGGGGGGGCATGCATGACGAGAGAGTTCCTATCCAGGGAAGGGCAGAGCAGGCAAAAGTTTCGCGGGGCTTCGCACATCCGTGAAATATGGCTAACTCTATGTTACGCACCATACAAATACCGGATTGGGTGCTTTTTAAACTATTACAAAAACATAATCTAGTATAAAAACCTCTGTGTCAGCTTACTTTTTTTTTATTTCTAACAAAATTTCCAACAGAGATAACTCTCTACGTGCTATTGTACTGTGCATTCTGAAACTGGTGTACCATAGCTGGTCAACTCCCTAGCCGGTTGCTCTCTTTGTCTACTTATCAGCTGGATCAGCTCAGTCCCGTGCATAGGGTTCCTCTTCAGGAGGAACAAAGTTTTTCCCCAGTGCCCCCTCTCTATATCATGTATGGGGATGAGTTTGGAATGGGGTAAAGTGCACAACCATAGTCACCTACCGAAAGGACAATAGCTTTTGCATTCAGGTCACCCTAAGGGAACACAAAGCAGAACCTTCAAGATTTTTTTCTTTTTATGGCGGTGCTAGCACTTTCTTGAGAGGCTTATGATTGTACCAGTACGATCGGAGGGACCGCTCCAAATTCAGGAGTATCCCAGGTGAACTACAAAGTTTGAAGGCGTGCGCATTCAATGCACACAATACGTTTTTTCCCGTACCTTGTTTTGCTGCTCCATCTCGAGAAGGAGGTTGGGCACTGAGGCCGTGTCATTGACCGAGCACCCGACCACGGTAGGTGCAAAGATGCGCGCTAGGTTACTCAGGGGCATCTTCGTCTCGGGGTGAGCGGCCACCGTCTGCAAGTGCACCACCAGAGCGGCCAGGGTGTCCCGATTGGGCGGAGGAAGCTGCATCACCGCCTGCCACATGGACCACACCCGGTCATCGTGCTCCAGCTCTGCACGGGCGAGAGAACCGATAAAAAGAAAGGTTAATGATTTAAATATATGGGGTATGACATCCTGAAATTACGAGACGCCGTAGTGGAGGGCTCCGGAAATTCGGACCACCTAGTGTCCTTTAACATGCACCGACATCGCACAAGTACGGGGGCCTAAACCACTTCGCTTCCATTGAAATGTGGCTGCCGCGGCCAAGACTGAACCCCGAAACTTCCGGATCAGCAGCCGAGCACTGTAGCCACTAAGGCAAATAAAAAAGGTTTGGGGTAGCATTCAGGGGTGCAATAATGATCATTCTTTATTTTGTCACAATGGCCACACGTGGCAAAAGGAAGCTACACTCCAATCCGTAGCCAGCACTCAATGCTGTGGAAGCTACACCAGAAGTTCGGTCAACAAAACGTATAACTCCGCATGTGTCACTGTGTTCTGGGATAAGCACTTCTACGAGCAGAGCAAGGCCCCAAGCGTCCCAATGTTCCTAATTAAAAATAGACGAATACTAACAAATTATAAGAGATATCAACATAATCACAGCCACAAGATCTAATTTATTATTACGCATAATGTCGAAACTATAAACTATAAATACCAGACTGTACAGCTTTATTGGCCCAGCTTTTGCTCTAATCAGAGTAGCAGTGACATGTTAATACATCATCATTGTTGCTATTACAATAACACACAGAAGCACAAAATATAGCGCTTAGGCAACTTTTTCTCTGTAATGTGACTGCGAAGTATTAGAGAAATATGCAGAAATTATTTCAGAAATTATTTGTTTCGATTTTCACTCAAACTTTACTATTCGAATTCTTTTACCACTCAAAATTTCGCTACTCAAGCAGCTGAAGAAACGTGGCTTTCCAGTTTCTGTAGAATTTACAGCTACGCATGGCACAGAGTATATAATAAACTACAAGTATTAACCTGTAGTTATTCCAAATGGTGCAGAAATGGGACACAACAGAGACACAGCACCTGTGTTGTGTGGTCTCTTCTGTCTTGCTTATGCGCTCTTTGAAACGGATATGTGCACATACACCAATGCGCCCGCTTAGTCACTGTTTCGAAACTAGTAAACTTTTCATGCTTGATGACTGCTATACTCGTCGCCAACATGTAGTACCAATGACTATATCGACTGTTTTTTGATGCCAGATGGCATCCCCGTTGTCCATGTTTTTTCACTAGAGTTTATTCCTCCTCCTGTCTCTCTCTCTTCTTCCTCTGCATTGTAGGCTCCGATGCCACAAAGCTATGAAAGGGGAAATCGACAATTACCCGATTGTAGCCCGAAGCCACGAGAAAATCCATTGGAAGGGGTTATGAACTCATTCGCATCCCTACTTAAATCCATGCTCTTCAGGTTGTCGATGAATTCGCCCCCGTGCCGCCAACTACTAGCTTTCTGGTTCCGTGTATTGGTAGAGCGAAAACTCCGGATAGGCATTGGTCCCAGGTTGAAACCCTGGGACAGGTCGAATTTTTCGGCAACTAAGAAGCTTTTATTGACAAGAAGTTTGAGAGAATTTCGTAGCGGCTTCGCGCTACAAACGGACGATTGTCAATGTTCTTTTTCATAACCCGTTCCACCCCTTTGCGGGATTACGTAAAACTCATTTGCATAAAAAAAAAGCCCCACAAAGTGAGCAAGAAATTCGTTTTGATCATTCTGACCAACTTTTCTTTTCTTTTTTTTTTCTTTAAGTGGGTTAGTAATATCAGTGCTTTTATGCACCAAAACCACAACATGATTATGAGGCACACTGCAGGGGAGTGCTGCGGCAATTTCGCTCGTCTGGCGTTCTTTAATGAGCACGGACACTGCACCGTACACGGACCTCCAGCATTTCATCTCCATCGATGCGAGACCACACAAGCTAGGACCTTACCTGGGACTTTCAGGTCAGCGGTGGAGTACCGTAAGGTAACCACTGTACCACTGCAACAAACAGCACTACAGTAATAAACTTATGGAGACGAGAGCGAGTAGTGATGTGTGAACATAACGTGGTTGTTAAGGGTCCAAAAACAGACTTTGTAAAGATCGCGAAACCCTGATACACCTGGCACTTATTTGTCAACAAAGCTTCAAGATGTAAAAAATATCACTCCGGGCAGGACATGCTTCAATGTAGAGAAATCTTTAATAATACAAAAAGGCACGCTAGTAGGCTTTGCTGCATACTGAAACTTTAGCGATGTTCTGTACGTTCACCCTAATCAGACAACAAAGGAAATTGCAGAAGCGTGGCATATCTCTACACTTGAAGACATGTGCGACAGTCACCCTTCTGTACCACTAAATAAAAAAGAAATTGACTTGCTGAACAAGACCTGATATTGCACCGTCTATGTCGAAGGATTTATTGGTTTATGTGAAGGAATGTAGTGTGCCGTTTCGCTCATGTACTGTGATCATAAGGTGCTGAAAAAAGTATATGTTCTGTTTTCTTATTAATAAAGGTCAGTTGTTAGTGTACGCTGGCCCTTGTGTTCCTTTCGTCTGTGTCCTCGTGTGTGCGCGCTATAGTTTCAGTACAGAGAAATCTTCTCTAATGTTGCATACACAACACACACCGATGAGTACATTTTGTAACTTACGTATGTGGACACCAATGATAGCCATGGAATGTGCAGTGATGAACGTATAAAAGTAGATGCTGTTCATCAAATATCACAGAGAGAAGTGGTAACCATGCTTGCTGCCATCACCTTTGCCGAGTATAGGTCTGCCCAGCGAAGAGTTCAGCCTTTACCAGGTTCACTGCTGGCTTCTTCACTGTCACAGCTATGTGATGATATATATATATATATATATATATATATATATATATATATATATATATATATATATATATATATATATATATATATATATATATATATATACCTCGTTGTAACGAAATTGGAGGGCTGCCGCTATTTGCTAGATATAACCAATATTTCGTTATAGCCGTAGCGGGCATTTACCGCAAAACTTATGCACTGTACTTACCCCGAAAAAATAGCGGCCGAAATAGCATCCCGCCACACGGTGGTATGCAACAAAATAACCGCATTCCCAAATAAAAAGGAAAAAGTCATGCACCTGTTTTAATGCACTTCAATATACACAGCTTACATTTCAGGCAGACTTAGCTGCAAAGAAGTCCGTAATTGAACGTTGATGCATCTTCCTGATGCGAACGATGGCTCGCTCAGCTGCGGCCGCAATGTTCAAGCCATCTTCGCCGCCCTCGTGAGCGCCGAAGTAGCGGCGACCGCGTCTAATGCCTCCGACGCCGTCGGCATGTTTGCCTCCTGTTCGTCGACAGAGTCATCGTCACTGGTTTCGTTACAATCACTGACAGCATCGATGATGGACTCCTGCTTGCTCAAGATGGTTGACAGTGTGCTCGTCGATACGCCAAAGTCTCTTGCCACGTCGCCTTTCTTGGTCCCCGATTCGACGGCTCTTATCATAGCCGCCTTCTGATCTCGCGTTATGCGTTTTCGCTTCCCGCCTGGTGCATTCATGTCACTGGAATCACGAGCGCAGCACGATAAAAGATAAGGCGGAAGCGATCAAAAAAGAGAAGAAACACGCACGCAAAAGCAACGCATCTCACGTCGGCGAGCGACAACACTTGCAGAAAAAGTGACTGTGAAGTGGAAGGGGCAGAAGGGGCGCTCTTTTGCGCTGCCCTTTAGGAACCGGTAACTCAAGGGGAAGGGGGTATGTAAGATTAGGAAGCGTGCCTCAGCGCCATGAGAAAGGGGGGAGGGAGAATATAAAGAAGACACAAAAGAAAAGAAAAGGGCGAGACATTCGCGGAGCTGCGGAGCGCTACTGTCGGTGGTAGCCTAAAGTCCCTAGATAAAAAAGTTTTCGAAAACTTTTTTATCTAGGGACCTTATGGTAGCCAAGCGGCGCACGTGCAGCAACCTCTCCTCCGGAAACAGCGCGTGCCGTCTGCTTTGCGCACGTTGCTGGAGGGCGCGTGGCGGGAGTTTTGAACTGCTAAATACAGTTCTCGCGTTGCGCGCCGTCTCAAATTCGCGTTGTGCACTGTCGTGACATCGGCTCAAAATTTTACTTCCTAACAAAATTTGTTCGTTATATCCCATAACATGCAAATTTTGCCTCGTTAAAACAAGGTTTTGAATACATTGGTTTGTATGGGGACATTCAAGGGGAATCAGGATTTGCTCATTATATCCTTTATTTCGTTATATCCCATCTCGGTATAACGAGGTTTAACTGTATATATATATGAATACATGAATCGGGCTTCGAATGAAGATGTGCAACGAAAAGCGTGGTGTCCTAGATGTGTTGACAGCAACTGCTACTCAACAAAAGCCATTAAGTACAATGGCCTGTCATCATGTGCTTTCAATATCATTGCAATAGTGACCACACTTTTAAAAGGACACTAAGATCCTGTTGAACTGCATTGCATCGAATGCCACAAGTGTGGCACATTCCTGATAACACCTTACACCTTCCAGTATGCTCGTATGGCCGAAATTTCCAATGAGACCCATCGAAGTCTCACTCCAAGGCCTCACCTGTTGCGGCGACGAATACGTGCCACAGCGATTTGGTGACGAGGCTTTCGTGGAGCGAGAGCAAGAAGTCCTTGAGGACGCCACACACTGCATAGATGTCCGCCTTAGACTGAAACAAAAGAAAGAAAAGCACTGACAAACAGCTAGTTATCCAAATAAAGCCATGCAATAAGAAACTGAATAGTAAATGTTGCTCCCGAGGCAGGGGTGGCACCAGACAGGACATCAGGGGATGCCCACTCTCCCTTTGCATCATCCCCACCCAAGGAGCACACAGTACAATGCAATGCTTAAAAGACTACCTAAACAACCCGGAGGTCCGAAAATTGCAATGAATGAAAATAAGCCCCCTTTTGCTATATGAACATGCTGCCGCAAGAATTTCAGGAGTACGTGTTGTAATAAGAAAGGTAAAAAAGAGTTATAACAACACTTTTGGCACGTTTTGAATTCTCACATGGCCTTGCCACCCTTTTCCACCACGACATAGGAACCTGCCGTCGTGACACCACCCACTTCGTGACACTTACCCTGCTGTCGTGACACCACCCACTTCAGCAACATGACACAATGTCGACAATCGAAGTCATCGGCAAGCTCAGTCAGTCGCAATGCACTTCCGTTTGCTGTAGATCTTGGTTGCGTTACTTGTGTACTGTTTACTGCTATTTACATTGTCACACGCGTGCCTTGAAAGGGTCGTGGAGGATATAAATCTCTAAGGTGACATGCCATGACGACGCACAGCCGAGGGCGACGATGACCCGTGGTGCAGGTACAGTGCGTGCAGGTGCTACGATGTGCAAGGGATATACGCGCAACAACTGCGTGGCCGAAACAGTTTTGGTGCAGGGCCAAAAAACAAGGTGCAGTTTCGTAGCGGTGGGAGGGGATCGGAACTGACGTTAAACTGACGACTGTTCGTCGAGACCTGGTTTAGACCCATCGATGAGCACAGTGGTATGTAGAGTTGCCCATGGGCAAGATTTTGTCACAGCACATACGAGAGGGATTGGTCAGGCTCGGGAATCATTTTTCAAAATGAAAGGTCTGCGCGGTGGGCAGCGCTAAGATATCCGGATAATGTGATCACCGTGGTCTACTGTACGACTTGGCGAGCTTCTTTCGGGCAATGTAAAAAAGAAACAGTCGATGCCTGTTTACTGGCCTTTTACGTTGCCCACCACCTTGAGCCGCCCCTGAAACCTATTCTCATAGGTACTTGCTTGTCATGAGTGCCCGCCCAGTAAAAAAAAAAAAATCCTGGCACCACCATTGTCCCGAAGCGTGGAGTGAAACAAGCACATACAGTAGACTCTCAGTAAATGGAAACCCCTTAAACAGAACTACTGCTTCAATGAAACAAGTGCATTTGGACAAGATTGGTTTCATACCTGTATTCTGCACCCTTCTTCATTTCTCAGTAAACAAAACTCCTATTACATGGAACATATCTCCCAGTCTCTTCACATTCTATTTAATGATAGTACAGGCAAACCAGGAACCACAAGCTTTCTGCCATAACAAAAGGAAAACACTTTGTGTACAATAGCAAGCAATTTCTGGAGCCAGAAATTTTTTCTAGGAGTGTCCGGGTGATGGGGTAGAGAAAATTCAAACCCTTCGAATTCGTTAGAGCATGTACGCATGTATATCAACACGTACAAAATGTAAAGTTTCTCGGGGAGGTTCAAGCCCCCCCCCTCAACTATCTAGCTGGCTATGCCCCCGGTTGCCAGCTAACCTATTTATTCGCTAGCACATGCACTAATAAAGCTTACTAGTCTTTGCTGATTTTGAAATGGGATAGTGTGTATAATCAAGAACAAAAGCTCGTCGAGCTAGTGCTCCGAGAAACAGAGGAACAGCCCACGTCTCTCTACTCCTTGCTGAAAGGATGAATGCTACGATACCTGCCACGTGAAAACCACTATTCCCACACAACCTTCGGGCTGCACAGCAATGTCGCGAGGACGTTTACACTTTACGAAATTCAGTGCTGCTACTAAAATTTTTGCACTTGGCTACGCATATTGAATGATTGCTGTCTGGATGTAGCACAATAAAATGTGCATCTCGTTTGTTTCACATACAGCTAAACCTGCTTATAACGAACCTCCATATAACGAATTCCTCGATATAACAAAGTTTTTCTATCCCCCGCCATTGCTCCATAGAAGCACATGTATTTGCGACCTCTATGTAACAAAGTAACAGCGGGGGACAACCTTGTTAAAACGAACTTTCCCCAAGCACAACTTAGGAATTCTGCTCCACATTTTGGCATGACAATGCATCTTTCACGGCTGCCCCGCCCGCTGACGACGAAGCGCAAAGCGACATGCACGGTGCACCAGGCGAGAGCGAGCATTCGTTTTTGTGCGCGGGTGAGTGCGAGGCGGGCCTTCACCCCACGAGCCGCATTGCCGTGGTTCCCGTCGTCGCTGGCGCAGGCGCGGGTGTGCCCCTCCTCCTCACTCCAAACAAACAACAAAAATATTTTTGCGTGTTAACAGTGTCACGCTTCTAGTTAGCGTCACATATGTGGTTTGCGTCGCATATAGAGGGCGCTTTACCGAATGATAAAATGATATTGCTTTAGCGCAGCTCACTTTGGGCGCGAAGAAAAGATGCTATGCAGTAAGGAAGGAAAAAAAAAACTCGCGAGTGTGCTTTTCTCTTCTTTACTGCATAGCATTTTTTCTTCACGCTTAATCTGAGCTGCGCTAAAGCAATATCATCCTATCATGCAACAACTCGCCCAGTCAGCAGTACTTGCTTTACTGAATAGTTTTCCGCGGTATCTGTGTCATTTGCTTTTCGTTTTCGATGACATGCACGCATGCATAGTGTGGCCATCGATGACATCTTTGCTTTTTTTATTATGATATCAATTACATGGACGGTCTCGGCTGGTTTTTTGTCGTCGCCGCCGCCATTTACTGCATATGTATACTTATCTATATATATGAAAACTCAAGAAAGAAAAAAAAAGCCGCCTGCGCTTATCTCCCTCGGGTACTTTGCCCCGCGAATGGGGGGGCGGGGGGGGGGGGGGTACATGCTTGTGCGTTCGCGCTAATCTTTTTTCGGTGGGGAGCATCGCCCACCTTCGATTTTGATTGGAATGATTGCATGTCAGTTGCCGGGCGCACAAAGATCATTTCGCGCGCAGGACAAGCGCCGCTTGCAAAAACAGTGCACTTTTCAAACTCAGTGAAGTGAACTACCGAGGCACTTGTTAGTTTGCACTCGTATATGTACCTGTGATTACGTTTCATGCCTCTATTTTGTTTAAAGCACATCAAGTGGTAAACATTGTTAGTTTGCTGTCGTCTTGTGTATGTTGTTTTCGTGCGTCATTTGTGTGCGAGCAGCGCGTTGCACGTTTCGATCTGCTTGCCGTTCTCAGCGTTACATTCCAAGTTGTTGCTATCGCATTCATTGCTTTGCCCTTGCAGCCAAACTGCGACTTTTCTTAATTTCGGACAACCGTATTGTCACCACCGAGAGGATGTCAGACAAGGCACTCATGGAGGCTCTCCGAGACCATGGTGACGACGGGTCTTTGGAGCTCTACTATTAACGCGCTTCCATCTTCCTTCTCGAGTTCACAGGCTGGTAGCTTTCGCGATGAGCTGATTAGTTCTGGCAACATAACAGCGCGTTGAATGCAATGCAATGAATGTGATAGAAAAAAATTTTAATGATATAAGAAGTAAGGCTGGCAGCGAACTCTCTTGGATCCGATATCACGGAACTCCTGCAAAACGCTGGTGTGAGCAAATACGGCCACTTTGTGGAGAAGTGCTCTTTTCACATAGCCCCTTCGCGTTGAAACAACACTGATACTCGCCGAGATAGCAAGGGCGCCAGCAATCCAGACCGCCCCTAAAATCCAAGTTCATTATTGCTACTGTATTCACAATGGTTAGCCTATCTAGCTCAACATTTGCATAAAGGATCAGACAGAGGCTCGCAAACAATACGGTACTGTATACATCACCAGTCCTTCGAATCAAACAGAATGTGTTGATGCAACCATAAATGATAATACAATTTAGAAGAAAGCAACAGAAAATCGCCATTCCCCAGCCACTCTCAAGTGACAAGAGGCCACCAGCACTCACTAGAGGGTTGGCCACTAAGGTTGGACACAAAACATGCTCAGAGCCAGGTGCTTGCATCTTTACATGACAGTTCACGACATTTTAATGCCGCAATTGAATACAGTGTTTTAAAGGATGTGATTACAAGAGTGTTGGTGTAATTCAGCCATCATTTTATGCTATTGACTGGTTCTCAGCACATAACGCTAGCATGATATGGCAAAGTCTATAACTTGATTTCACAATACACATAACTAAAATATCACTGAATATGCAGTTGTCATACGATTTACAATTGCTTGCTACAATGGGCCGCGAGATAGAAGTTATTAGAACCACCACGCAAGCACACAATTAACTTTGATTTCAATGTAAGAGTATCATTATGCCTAATTATCAGCGCCACATGTTTCCCAAAACACAGCACGTGTAGAGCCACTTCAACGGGGTCCAACAAGCGTTTGGTAAGGTGTTGGGAAATTTCGCCATGCATTTTGTGTTCTACCGAATTCAACTTTTTAATTAATGTACAGTTGACTATCAATAAACACAAATCTGTTAAAGGGAACTACTGGCTAAATGGAAAGACTGCCTTAGATATGATTCGGTTTTGTACCTGAAGTCTGCACCAATTTGTCTCTTTGTGAACAATACTTTTGCTAAATGGAACATTTTTGCAGTCCTTTCAGGTTCCATTTAAATGATAGCCTACTGTAGGTCTGCATTACATAGTGGCACATTGTGAGAGCCCTTTTCAAAACCACACAGACATACCAAGTTCGGGGCACCCTTGCCTTGCTGGAAGCGCTCCCTGATCTCACGCACTTCGCGCTCCGAACCAGACACCCTGGATATGAAGAGATCAGAGTTAGATGCCACTTTGTAATGCAGGCTAATCAACAATACACAGAAAAATTCTCATTAGAATCCTAATCAGCTCATCATCTCTGACTAGGTCATCTGTGCCACTCTTTAAATGGATGAAACATTACCATGCCTGCTATTACAGTCCAAGTCTTTAAAATCAGTTTTTAATGAACAGACTGTTTTGTACAAAGATTATTGTATTACTCGTGGTTACATTTACCTAAATGAAACAGAAGACAAGCTCGCCAGAAGAAATTGAATTTTTTTATAATAATCTTGGGATGCTTCAATGTCTTAGCTGGAATGTGCTAGATGTGCCAGGACCATTTTAAACAATATCTTAAACTAAGTGTAGAGATGTTTATTGAACGTTGGCCTAGGAGTCAACTGCTAACTTGATCAAAGGCGTAAATCACAGACGCCAAGAGCAAGTGCGATCTTTGCGCCATATGCGGTAGAGGCCGACACAATAGATGTCGCTGCAAAGGGTAACCGCGCTACATTGTTCGTTTTTGTTTACTATTTAATTAAGCATTTTCTTGGCACAAAACAGACGCTACGACGTTTCTAGAATTGTAACGCAACAATCAACGCTAGCGTAATGCTTGCCTTTCAAAAGTGGCAACACTGAACGTCATCCTGCGTACGCAAGAATGTTTACCGACCGGTAGATGCCCACACAGTCGAGGCCTCTGCGCTCCACCTCCTGGATACAGTGGACCACGAGAGCGGGCACCATGGGCGACGTGGACGGCGCGTAGTCCGAGATGAGGGCGCGTCGGCGGTGGCCCGCTCCGCCGTGCTTGGGAGTGTTGCCCGCCGGGATGCAGGGCAGTGGCACCTGATGGAAACAGTTGGTTTTGCAAGCAGCAACATTCATTACCACATATAAACCGGAGCTATTGAATAACGTTTTACTTCAAAGACCTTACTCAATACTGTAGCTAAAGAAAAGAAGTACCTCAAATCATTGCTTTGACATTGACGGGTGCTGATTATTGTAATCGGTGATGGCACGTTCACGAGCTGGGCTGTACCTCTACATGTTTTCCAGGTTTTTATCGATCTACTGTTATTGTACAAAGAGCATGCAGGATCGCAAACGAAATCATTAGTTTCAAGCTAGCAGTGTGAGTGTATGTCTCTTCTCTGTCCCTGTCGTGGTGCACTATGCCGTTGGGATGATGCGCTCCACTAAAAGTGTTGCCCCATCAGCCAGCGTCTTGCATTGGCCATTGTCAAAAAGTTCTTGTCACATGAACATTCATTTCGAATCTATTGTTCTCAAAACCTCAAAATGAAACTACATAGTCACAGTGATCATAGCCCCAAGAAAACAAGAAAAGAATTCTGGGACTTCACGTGCGGGAGCAGAGATATTACAATACACAACATAATGTAGAGAGAACACCATGATTTTTAATACCAAGATTTCTGCAACGCATGAAAGATTTTAACAATGCAAAAAGACAGAACACCCAGGAACAGAAAGACAGCGCCGAACTCACAACTATTCTTACTGTTCAAACGCAAGGCCTTTTTATGGCATGCCTAAATACAATGAAAATGTAATTGGATGAAATAAAGCAATGAAAATGCCTCACAATGAGAGGTTGTTGAAAGGAACAATCAAGGAATGGCGACGGTGAAGAGAAAAAACAACTTAAAACCTCAAGCACGCTGATGATATAAAAAGAAAAAGTAGAGAAATATAATTATAAATATGAATCCTAGTACTAACTGAGATACAAAGTAAAAGCAAACAAGCTATGAAAGTTATACTATACTCATACCTCATTATAACGAAGTTGTATGTCACATGAAAATAAGTGTTTTAACTGCAAACTTGTTATAAAGGTATATTCCCAATACTATACTCATAACTTATTATAAACGAAGTTGCATGTCACATGAAAATAAGTTCGCTTTAACTGAAAACTTGTTATAATGGTATATTCCTAACACTATACCTATTGCAAGACTATTCCTCATTTACTTTGTTATAGCCATGATTTCATTTAAGCTAGGTTTGTTATATCGAGGTTTGAGAGTACTTCAAAGATAAAGGACGTGGTGAACAAAATGCTGTTGAGAAGGCTTGCGCTGTAGGTAGAGAACGGCCTTTTTGAATAGAAAAATTGCATGCCTTCTCAGCAATCTTTTGTTCATCATCAATTACTGCATCAATTACGGACATCAATGACTGCATAAACTCATGAGGTAACACGTACACCACTCACCTAAAACCACTACATATCATTCAGAACGAGGCAGTTCGATTAATCACGTTTAGTTAACCCAACCACAATGCTAAACAGTTGCTACAAGAAAATAAAAATTTTGATGTTGCCGCTCTTGTAAAATTCAATCTTGCCACTTTTCTTTTCAAACTAATCAATAAACAAATATCATTATCATCAATTCATTCATCATCTTTTCTAAATACTAACCCGACTCGTTTTGCGCAGTATAACAACTTCATTCTGCCCAAAGTACAAACTAATTATGGCAGACAGACAGTTCCCTTTGCAGCCATATCATTATGAAATACATTGCCATTTCTAGCAAAAATTCAAGAAACACATAAATTTTGCCATGAATTGAAAAAGTTTTTGTTATGCGACACTCACTCTTCTGCCTAACCGGTTTCTCTCTTGCCATGTCCTTCTCAGTTTTTTTTTTTTTTCCTTTTCATGTCATGCTATTTATATAGATATATATAAATATATTTTACAGTTTATATTTTTGATCGAATATAGTTGATGAGAGCATCGTCATTTATTTGTATCTGTATTTCATTTTTTTAACCTTGTATTCTCTTATTTTCGCACTGTCGTTGCCAATCAAATACTTATGTTTACATTTCATAGGAGGTTCCATTTCAGTGTATACTATGAGGCCTCCTTCTGTATATTCTTTTTTTTTTGTACATCTTATTATGAAATAATAAAACTTGATGTGATTTGACACTGCACACACAAAAAAGAAAAGGTATTGTTCACGGGGCTTTGTATTTTGTTAGACACATCCAATGAAACCAACAGACAATTAAGCCAAGGAATAAATAGGGGTGCAATTTTTTTTAATTATGTTGTAATGATTATGACCTAAAGTGAAAATTAAACGAGAAAAAGCGTGCCTTTGCATCCATCAAAGCAAAACCCACAATCTTCAAATAACAAAGATTGTGGGTTTGAATCCCACCGACAGAAAAAATGCTTTTTCACCCAGGTTTTTTCTTTCACTTTACGTCATTCATACAAATGATGTCCCCTACGCTTTCTTCGGCCAGTCTTTCCATTGGATTCGCTTGTTTTGCCATTACGACACCATGTCAATTTAAAAACCCTCAACTCTTTCCTAGTGCGTAAACTGCAACAGCCCTTGTAATAAAAATTTAGTCAAGCACGAGCATCCCTGCCATTTTTTGCAACTCTCACATGCAAGTCGCGTGCCAGAGAATATTCACTCTAACCTTGACACAGTCAAATCTCGATATTTCAAACTTGAAAGCACCTAAAAATTTGTTTGAATTAAAAAAGTTCGAATTAATGAAAGCTAAATAAACGGAGGGCTCTCCATGCAGTGGTGCATGTGCATTGAGCTAACACACGAGGGGGGAATTTCATAAGACCTACATTTATTCACAAATCACAGGACATCCGCTATTAATTGAAGTAATCGGTGATGCGCGTCTGCACACGTTTGCCTTGCAGCGAATCGATCAGTTTCGCATGCAGCTTGCAAAGCGTTTCTACTTCGGCTTCAGCATTCTCCTGGCAAGAGAAGTTGCAACCGGATAGATATGTCTAGTGCCGACAATTTCTAAAGACGACAACAACAACGACTGCACAGCAGAGCCTCTCTGCTACGCAACCGCAGCATGGCCAGCACATAACGAGAGGAGGAGCATCTCCATGTGGAGAGAAGCAGATAGGCATTTGAAAGAAAACCAACACTCCACGGCAGCTTTTTTTGTTTTTTTGCTCTCTTCGCACGTGTGGTTGAAAGGAGAAGTGTTACGTGGCAGGGACGGGAAAGGGAGAAGCATGGCACTGGTCCGTGAGACCCCCCCCCCTCCTCAAGGCGCAGAGGCGTGCTCCCACAAGGGACAAGGGCTGCAGAAGTGCCTTTTTTCTTTCCTTTATTCCCACATTCATTCAACCCAGCGACAGCTATCTTTTTTTTTTTCCTCTCTCTGTTCGCGCGCGGCGTTGGAAGGAGAAGGGTCTTTACATGGCAGGGACTGAAAAGGGAGAAGCGTGACACGGGCACGTCGCAGATCGGCATTTGAGAAAGAGCAAACGTTCTACCGCAGCCTTTTCTTTTCTTTTAATTTCGTTCGCACGCAGCGTTGAGGTGTCGCAGGTGCCGCCGCAGGATTGGGTGGGGTGCTGAGAGCATTTTTGGAGTGCCGTATGTTCGAATTAACCGTCACAAGTGCTTGCGCGTTCGAATTACCGGGCGTTTTCGCCCATTGGAATACACATAGCTTTGACGGGACCTCATCGTGATGTCGAATTAACCGGAAGTTCGAATTAGGCGTGTTTGGAATAATGAGATTTGACTGTATAACAAACACAAATATAACAAAATGTTGATTATAAGGAAGCAAATGAAGAATAGTCTTGCAATTGATACAATAAAGCAAAATGGAGAAGCGAGCTAGCTGGTTCCTATTTGGTAATAAATATAGTGTTAGAAATATACCTTTACAATGAATTTTCACATATAAAAAACTTATTTTCTCGTCAAATACAACCTCATTATAATGAGGTTCGAATGTATTATAATATCAATACAGAGGCCACCGACTAACCAGGTGCCTGCACTCCATGTGGCTGACAGCATTGCAGCGGCTGCACTTGTAGACAGTCTTGTAGAACTTGATACGCTTGCCGCAAGGACCGCATGTCTCCGTCTTGATCGCTGTCTTGGGGCAGAAGGTGTGTTGTTGGGAGAGCAACCTCTCGGCCGAGTTGCTCCGGCCTGGCACGGCGACACTTGCTGCGGCCTGTCCGCGCCTCTGAGCAACCGGAGTGCTCGGTGCAGATCCTTAGGTCGTCCAAGCACAAGAAAAGCACAATAAGCATTCATCAATGGCCACTCGGTGTCGTCGGGACCGTAAAGTGTTGAAACGTTGGCAGGTACAAGTGAAAACATTTTCCTTGTGCAACATCTAGACAAGGGGCCTCAAGCTCACCTCAGTTAGAGGAACGCTGCTACAAATTATAGTCTGACAAGAGCAGGGACAGCAAAACTGGCAGGAGCAGAGGGAGAGTCAACAAAAATGACACCTAACCTTGCCATTTTAAAGAATGCCTTTTCCATATCCCTCATAAGGATGATTTCTAAAGGGGATTTCATGTCGCATTTTAAAAAACATATTGCTAAATGGATTACTAAAATGGTTAAATGCTAAATGGTTAAATGGATTACTAAAATGGCCCAAATTTGGCAGTGTGCCAATATTCGAAATATTAAATATTTTTCAAATAGTGTTTGTTATTCAACTTGATTAGCACCAGAATCTTACTATTCGAACTTCCCAAAGACAAGCACAATCAATGTCCAACTGGCAATAGCTTTGCCCGACGGGCAGGGTGTTTCAAGCACTACCCAACTATACAGGAAAATTATCGAGCAAATATGAACATTAAGAGAATGACTTCATAATATCTACCACGAAACACAGCCTAGAACTTCAGCAAGTGCCAGCCATAGCACTGGCAAGTACAATGACATGTACACATTCCACCAAAGATCACAATCGTAGTATGTACTTGCCGCTACTGCATAGCGACTGGTTCGTATTGCTAGGCGCAGGTTTCCCACATAAACATTTTAATACTGACCTTACTGACTAATGCATTGTTTATCATCACAACTATACATAAGAATACACGGAAGCAGAAGCACATCTATGTCGGTGGAGAGAGATTACAATTTAATGCTAAATTGGACTAAAATAATTCTGGAAAAGAATTAAGCAAATTTAAGGCACAAGCACTGAGGCGTCACGTTTGCATGAAAAGTGTGCGATGTGTGTTGTGAGAGAAGTAAATTATTTCCAAATCTAGCATAACTGATTCCAATCAAACTTTTGAATGAATGTATGAGCAGGAACTAAACGATACACCCCACACACCGGCTGTCGCGAACAACACATAAAAAAACAAATATTACTGACCACTCGAGTACTTTGGCATCATCATGGTTGTTGGAGATGCCAGTGACGATGCTGGAGAAGCCAATGCTGATGCTGGAGAAGCCAATGTCGATGCTGGAGAAGCCAATGCTGATGCTGGAGAAGCCAATGCTGATGCTGGAGAAGCCAATATCGGTGACAGTGGTGGCAGGGTTGGCACATCCGGCATAGAGGGCATCGGCGGCTGGGCAACGACTCGTGTTGTCGCTACCAGATCCTGGCCATCCTTGATGGTTATAGTTGTCTGCACCATGCTGGCATGAGGCTTATCCTCCTCAGTCTTGGCCTGGAATGCAAGAACAGGTTGCTATCAAATTAAATGTACCTCGATGATGTTACGCTCGGACCTCGTTATAACGAAGTTGTACCTCACACGAAAATAAGTTCGTTATATCCAAAAACGTTGTTATAAAGGTATATTCGAAACAGTGTATATATTGCAAAAGTTCTCTTTATTTACTTCGTTATAACCGAGATTTTGTTATATCTGGGTTCGTTATATCGTGATTTTAGTGTGCTTGCTAGTAGATTCAGCACATGTAGATGAAACGTACTAAAGCGAACGCATCTGCTCCAACGCCAGGGGCATTCCCTGCGTGTGCAAAAATAGATACGCATGGAGGTGCCCGGTAATCTGTTCTGCAGCTCGCACATCAGCCGTCTTTCCTTTGGGCTCTACAGTACCATGAAGAAATGCCAGGCCTGCACGGAACACGCAACACAGTCACACTGCAAAACAGTAAAAGCGGCCTTTCTAGAGGCCATTGAGAACTCTTTCAAGGCAATCACACTCGAACCTCAATATAATAAACCCGGATATAACGAAACATCGGTTATAACAGAGTAAATTAAGAATGGTCTTGCAATAGATAGTGTGAAGAATATACCTTTTTAACAATTTTTTGCTTATAATGAACTTATTTTCGTGTAAGATCCAACTTCGTTATAATGAGTATTCAGTACAAGTACACGTGTAAGGTACCCACCACACCATATGTAATCCCAATTTTCGCAGTAGAGAAGTACCCACTACGCCCAATGTGGGACGCCTGGTTGTTATTTCACTCTTCTGCTAGGCTTTATCACGTATGTAATGCAATTCTTTGGGCGCCATGATGCCTGCATGATAACTTTTTGGGGAGCACTGGCAGGACTACTGGAATACTCAACTACCATGCAGGGATCCGGGTTCAAATCCCATGAATTCCATTTCTGAATTCGTGTGGGTGTGGTGGTACAGTCAAATCTCATTTCAAACACGCTTAACTCGAACTTCCGGTTAATTCGACATCACGATGAGGTCCCGTCAAAGCTATGTGTATTCATATGAGTAAAAACGCCCGGTAATTCGAACGCCCAACCTTTTCCTACAATTAATTCGAACATACCCCGCTACGAAAATGCTCTCAGCACCCTGCCCAATCTTGCTGCGGCACCTGCGACACCTCAACGCTGCCCGCGAAGGAAATGAAAAGGAAAGAAAAGGCTGCGGTGGAATGTTTGCTGCCTCTCAAATGCCGATCTGCGACGCACTCGTGTCACACGCTCCTCCCTTTTCTGTCCCTGCCACGTAAAGTCATCGCTGGGTTGAATGATTGTGTAGCTGAAGGAAAGGAAAAGGGCACTATCTTCTGCAGCCCTTGCCCCTTGCGGGAGCACAGCTCTGAGCCTTGAGGGGGGGGTCTCTCACGTGCCGGTTCCGCGCTTCCCCTTTCTTTTCCCTGCCACGTAACCCTTCTCCTTTCAACGACGTGCTCAAAGAGAGCAAAAAAAAAAGAAAAATCTACCGTGAAGTGTTGGTTTTTTTCTGAAATTCTCTCCACGTGGAGACGCTCCTCCTTTCTCGTCACGCGCTGGCCATGCTGCGGCTGCGTAGCGGAGAACGGGAGGCTACGCTACGTAGCAGTCGTTATCGTCGTCTTTAGAAAGTGCCGGCGCTGGGCATTTTCGCACACAACTTCTCTTGCCAGAAGGATGCTGAAGCCGAAGTAAAAATGTTTTGCAAGCTGCGTGCGAAATTGATTGACTCGCTGCAAGGCAAACGTGTGCAGATATGCATCACCGATTACTTCAATTAATGACGGATGTCCTGTGATTTGCGAGTAAATGTAAGTCTTCTAAAACTTCCTCTTCATGTGTTAGCTCAATGCACATGCGCCACTGCATGAAGAGCCCTCCATTTAATTAGTTTTCATCAATTCGAACTTAATTCAATTCGAACAAATTTTCAGGCCCCTTCGAGTTCAAACTATCGAGATTCGACTGTAGTTACAAACACTGGCAGCACTGCACCACCAAAGTCAGCTCTTCTCATAACACGCTCTAGCTGTTATGACCATGGCCACAAAAAGCATGTTAAAACAGTGGACACCATCCTTGCAAATGATGACAAAAATGGGAAAGAAAATAGTTATCAGATATAAGACCACTATTGTGCACAAAAAGGTTTCTTGAAGTGCTAATGAGCTTAGTTTCAAGTAATGAAAAATAACAACAAAATAGACAAGACTGAACGCCAACCTGAATTTTCTAATAAGAATACAGCAGGTAAGTGCGCACGCAAACCTTCACTTTACCGAGCGAGGGCAATAGCGATTTTTACTAAATTTCGTTTAGCCTCGTCGTTTTAACTCTCACATGTTATTCCTGTTCTTGTTTTTGTTGGTTGTATTCATCATTTGTTCTGCCCAAAAGAAATGTGTAAACAAGCGGCGATTCAACTCTAATACTGAAACAGACGGGGCCCAACATGCACTCCAGTGCTATCGTGGTAAAACATGTAGCTCTCCTAGTCACGACTCTAGTTTTGGTTCTGACCATGCTGTGCTGAACTCTGGCCACCCGTAGAACAACGCATTCAGCAGTCTGTAGGGCTCTTATTGAACAGATGGTGAAAGGAGCGATAAGTTTACTGAACCCACAAATACTCTCACAGGAACACTACAGTAATTCAACAATATGCAAGTCTCATGTGCCAAAACCACGATACGATTATGAGAGACTCCGTAATGGAGGGCTCCCGCAATTTCGACCACCTGCGATTCTTTAACGTGCAACGAGATCAAATAGTACATGTGCCTCTATCATTTCACTTCCATCGAAATGCGACCGCTGCGGCAGGGATCCAACCTGTGACCCTTGGATCAGCAGCCGAGCACACTAGCCACTGATACACACAGGCAGACAGTGGCTCTCTTAGATATTTCATTGCTTACACGACCACTGGCACTATTGCCTTCTTGGACCTTTTTTCCACAGCCTGCGGACTTGATGATTGCGAATGAATGCTGTCCCGATCTTTGCATATGGGCAGCCCGTCGTAGCTTCACATCACCGTCTACCTGGCCTGCATTGCCCTGGCATGGGCTGTTCCATGCCCAGGCCGCCCTCATGCGCGCAGGTGCTGCCAACCCACACACAGGTGTGGATTGGCAGCAAACACAGTGCCAACACAGCTTCCGAGTGTCGCTTCGTTGAAATTTGAATTTCGAAGAACCCGAAAATTCGTTTATCAGTTTTACCAACTCGCCAGTTAGTGAAGCAATTTGAGCACAGTCATCACCTTGTTATATCGGGTTTCAACTGTGTCAAAAGATTGACGTCTCGTTCTCTTGTGTCATGTTTATTCAACTTGCTTTCTTCAAAGGCATCATTTATGTCATGAAAGTAAGCAAATAGACTTAATTCTGCCAAGTCAATTTAGTATCGGGAAAATTAATCAAAAAGCAAACACGCAAACACAAAAATTTTGTGCCTAACGCTCAAGTCTGACAGCAAGTCATCTATTGGTCACAAAACCAAACAGCAAAGCACTGCCCGCATTGTTGCATCAGGAGATTACAATGCTGCATTGAGCCAGTGTGGCCCATGCGGCAGTAGCAAAATGAAGACATGTAAAGAGGCTCAACCCTCAAGTTTGGACATTGGAACATTCTTAAGCGAGGACACTGCCCTTAAACCTTTCTTTTTACAATCACTGATCAACTTCGATAAAACTTGCAGAGATTATGTATACTAGTGTACCTATTTCAAGCATGCAATCATTTTTCTAGTACAATGGGTAGTTTTCAAGATAAAACTTGCAGAGATTATGTATACTAGTGTACCTATTTCAAGCATGCAATCATTTTTCTAGTACAATGGGTAGTTTTCAAGATATGAAATATTTGATTGCCTTTTGGGGAGCGAAATTTTTCCAGAACACTGAGAGATGCAAAGTGATAATCCTCCTACCCAAAATGTGGGTAAAACATATCAAATTCTGAAAACTACGCATTGTACTAGAAAAATAATGGCACACTTGAATTCAGAACACAAATATTGATGAACTACAATTTTAGCAATATCAATCAAGAAATTTAAAGAAAAAAAATAAGCACAATGTTTCCCATTAACAAAGTGTCATATTCATTGTGACAATATATTCAATCATGATGCAATGGTTATGGCAATTGGAATCTGTGACAGAGGTCCTCTGAATGTGATGCAAACCTCAAGATAACGAAAGAAAAATAACATATTTCTACGTATGCACGAATAATTTCTTCTCCTACCAGTCCGCTTGTTTCATTTTGTGTGGTTACATTTAATATAAGCCCATACCAACTCCCCCAAGTTACCATTTTGCCGAAATACGAGAATGAACACACAAAGCGTAAAGACCAACCTTAAACTTCTTTCCTAGTGGTGACAAGCCCTCAAAGAAGTTGTACCGACGCTTGCCCTGTTGTACCGGCGCTTGCTCGACGCAGACAGGCGAGTCCTCACTGACATCCAAGTCTTCTCTCGAAGGAGAGAGCACCGAGCCAACAGACTCATCGATGACGCTCATCCTGAAAATTGAGAAAATGAGGACCACTTTGACAACTTCGGCAAAGTCTTATGGAATCTACACTGTTGCTTTGAATGGTTTGTAAGCATGAAGGGCTGTACCAAGATCAACAGCCTTAATAATTAGAACAAGCCAATAAACAAAAAAGGCATTATTGGAGATCAATTTTAATGCAGGCCTATTTATTTCCAGCTGCTAGGGCAGCCTCCTTGATAATAGTGGCCAGATCCCCTCCTGGATATGACAGACATCTACAGTGCGCCTGCCAAAGATGTCCCTCAACTGACCTGGCTGCGCGATCTTTCTGTCCGGTGCTGGTAGGCATAATAATTGAGAGCTTCTCGGCCGTCTCGTCACAAATCGAGTTGGTACTGGCAAGGAGGTTGCGGACTTGCTCAAGTTGGTGTTGCTGAAGAAAAACGAGCAAAGTGAATGTTAACACGCAGTGAACCACAAGACTGTCAACAAGTAACAACTCAAAGGGGCTCTGCAGTGCTTTTCCATGTTATCATCGAATTACTTCACTGTTGGAGTTGCATTGCATCTCACAATTGGACTCCAAAAGAACTTTTCAAATTCTCCAAGTAAGTTCAGAGTTGCAAGGATTTCTCCAATATTTCAGGCACATCTCTCCTTTCTTCTTGGTAATCGTGCTGGAAGCTAGGAAGGAAGAGATATTACTAGAAAAATAAGCAGTGCCAGTGAACATGTCGACTTGGAGCCCCTTGCAAGGATGCATTTCTGGCCTTACTGGTTCAACGTGTTTTCAGTGCTAAGCACAGAACCTATTTGACCAGACGGGAGGGAAAGGAGCCCAGTGGCTGCACGTGTGTTTCTTCCTGTTTCATTGCGTAAATATAAGATTTGGACTTAACGCCGAACCAAGCACTTTCATCAGGTCAGCTCGATTGGTGTGATCACGAGCCCACTGCTCTCCCCAATGAGCGATTCTAGCACAGTGTATAGCAAAAAGTCTGCACGTGGTAGCAGCAATAATCGCACAGGCCACGAATTCTCACATCAGTTACATTGATGACAATTTGTGGAGAGAATGAGAGGTTTCTAGCTCTATTTATGACACGGTTATCAATCCCCTGCAGTGTGCAGTACGATGATATCTGGATTGCACATTCACAGGAGCCTCGAGGACCAATTGGCAGCATTTGCCGACCGTGGCCAAAAAGGGTTGCAGGGCTCCTTTCAAAGCCTTTTATAAACTCTTGCTTCCAAGCAAAGTCTTTTTTTTCTCACTTTTAGCAACCCTGCTTCTTCTGCATGCGTTTCAACACTGTGAAATAAGTTGGACCACTGAATGTAGAAGACATAGAGGAAGTACACGTCCATAGTTTCAGAAGTTGAAACTGCCCACGAAAGTACCTTCGGAAGCACAGTTTGAAAAAGAAATGGCCATGTTCACACTACTTTTGGCAAGAAGTGTTCGCCATTGGAAAAGTTACAATACTCATTGAAATCAAATTCACTCTTGAAGAAATCTTGAAGAAACGTTCTAGTGAAATCCCAAAGCCAGCCAAGACGTACAATGTGTCCCTACCGGGAGATAAGGCCGCGTTATTTGATTGAGCGATTCTAGAAAGGAGGCAAGAGGCACATAATTTCTGTCTGCCTTTTGGGCGACACAACGCAGTGCGAGCATCCACCTTCACCACTCCGAGGGGTAAAGTAAGCGTGGAAGATGCGAACGCTCACTGTGCCATCTTGCTGGTAATGCTGAAAACATGATAGTCCACCTCCTCCCCCAAGATGCCCATCACCAGCAGTAAGTAACAGATATAAATAGCTTGCCATTCAAACATTGAAGGACGTGCTGCTCGGTGGCTCAGTGGTTAACGCCTCGCACTCACGACTCAGAGGTTCCACGTTTGATTTTGCATGCCGGACTCTTTTCAGGATTTTTTTCTTTCTTGCATTTTCATATATATATTGACACAATGTGACTTTAAATTAAGCGCGCTAGCAAATACTTGTGCCTTCTAGATGATTCGCGACGCACGAGCCTGCGGGGCCCAGCTGCGCGCGAACCGTGTTGGAAAAAAGAAGAACGTAGAAGAAGAGGCAGAAGTGAATCCTCGAGACAATCTAGCTGTGTTATTATTCTCGGGCACAAGTTCACCCTACCTACGTTAGCCTATTAAAAGAGTTCATTGAAGAGTGCATTACAAATCTGGTGGAAGTGCTGGGTGTGATGCCAAGCCCCTCTCGAGTGACGAAGCACAGTCCAGAACCACAGCAATTTCGACCCAACGAGCTGACGCCTGTTCATCAGCGCTGCAGTCGACGCCTACGTGGTGAGGGTCCTGAATTTTCACGTTTATCGACTTCGCTTAGAACATCAACGGCTGTGAACGGTACGCAACCGACATGACAGCTCAGGTCACTCCAGCCAACATTGTAGTAAACCAGCCAATGCTACCAAAGCCTTTCCACGGCGAAAGCTACGAGGACGCAGGGGACTGGCTTGAGCGCTTTGAACGCGTCGCAAAGGCTAACGGATATGGGGAAGAGCGCAAACTTGGAAGTGTTTACTTCGCACTGGAAGATAGAGCACGAACGTGGTATGAAAACCACGAAGCCACCTTCCGGTCATGGAATGACTTTCGACGGGAGCTGCTCGCTGTTTTCCCGAACACAGACCGCAAAGAGAGAGCTGAAGCTGCGCTCCAGACAAGAAATCAGCGAAATAACGAAACTGTCGCCATGTATCTGGAAGACATGTCTCGCTTATTCCGCCGAGCGGATTCAAATATGAGCGAAGACAGAAAGCTGCGCCATCTAATGTGAGGCGAGAAGCAAGAACTCTTCGCCGGATTAATTCGAAGCCCGCCGCGCACCGTCGACGAGTTTCGTTCCGAGGTGACTACAATGGAAAGGACGCTACAACAGCGAGCAAGGTTATACAACCGGGATGCGATCGTCACTTCCTTGGACATGTTGCCACCAGCCTTCGGTAATGGCATGGAAGCACTACGCGAGCTAGTGCGATCTGTTGTGCGAGAAGAGCTGCAGAAGCAGCGTCTTGACCAGAACGCTCCAATGTTTTTCGTCTCTGGCCGATGTAATCCGTGAGGAGATCAGGCAGGTGGTACGCGAACTCTCGAGCAACGCACAGCCAGGGCCGCCACTACAACAGAAGACGAGAATGACGTATGCTGATGTGCTACTACAAGGACCTCCAGGACGTGCGGACGTCGCGGCGGCTACACCTATGCAGTACCCAATGCCGCTGAGCACCCTGCAGCCAATGCCAGAGAGGAGACTAAGGAAGAGCGATGTCTGGCGCACTCTTGACAGGATATTGCTGTGTCACCACTGTGGGGAGCCTGGTCATCTCGACCGAACGTGCCACTACCGCCAGGTAGGTCTACGTGGTTTTCTTGTTAATGCACCTAGACCACGAAATAGTGAACGTCCCTTCGAAATTAAAGAATACCTGTCAGGTCGTCAAACCTCAAGTGGCTTCCAACGACACCAACCTCGTGCAACGACAACGGGGAGGTATAGATCGCCTAGCCCCCGACCTTCAGCAAGCTCCCCAAGGTCTCGTTCCCCAAGCCCGCGTCGGGACAACTAGAGTCAGCGATTTGTGGAGGCAAGGCCGCTGTCGACGCTAATGCAGAAAAACCTCTATTGCCGACTCTGAACGACGACCGATTCAGAAACCGGTGCTTCGATAGTGACGTTGCTTCCGATTTACGTGTTCGTTGACGGCTACGAAGTCATCGAACTGGTAGATATCGGCGCAGATTATTCAGTGATGAGTAGCGGACTTTCTAAAATACTAAAGAAAGTGCTGACTCCTTGGAAGGAACCACAAGTTCGCACAGCAGGAGGGCACCTCATCGACCCTACTGGAATATGCACAGCAAGAATCGGAATACGGGGTTTCACGTACGTCGCCAGTTTTATTGTGCTGCCGGAATGCTCAAGAGACTTGATTATCGGCATGGATTTCTTACGAGCTAATGGCGCTGTAATTAACTTGCGAGAATCTTCCGTCTCATTCTCGACAAGGCACGCGATTGCTACCTTTGAAACGGAAGAAAACGTATATGACCTTTGTAATGCAGATGATGTCGTCATGGTGCCGCCAAGATCGAGCATATCTGTCGCAGTAAACAACAAAGCATTCAGTGAATTCGAAGGATTTGCTGACAACAACACTGCCTTACTACTCCAAAAAGGGATCTGCTTGGCACGAGGCCTTGTTAAGTTACGTGACGGATGTGCAAATGTTCTACTCACAAACTTTGGAAATGAGGTGCAGCACGTTGCAAAAGGTACCGTCATCGCCAGTCTGAATGATTTCGTCCAGGTTACGGAGCTGCGCATTTTCGAAACCAATGAGTCTGATTTCGAAGATGTGGAGTCTGTCCTTGCAGCCATCGACATCGAGCCAGGCCTACTACCAAGCAAAAAAGAGCAAATAGAGGGTCTTTTAAAGGAATTCGCCGAATGTTTCTCGCTGTCATCTAAGGTTCGACGCACTCCTATCGCGAAATATCGCATCATTGTCGACGAGTCAGTGAGGCCAATACACCAGCATCCCTACCGAGTGTCACCAAGAGAGAGAGAAGCTATTGGTAATCAGGTTAAAGAAATGCTCAAAGACGATGTAGTCCAGCCTTCATCAAGTCCATGGGCATCACCTGTTGTTCTTGTAAAGAAAAAAGACCAAACCTTACGTTTCTGCGTTATCGGAAGCTGAATGCCGTCACCAAACGGGATGTTTATCCTCTGCCAAGAATTGATGACACTCTGGACAGGCTGCGAAACGCCAGGTATATTTCTTCATTGGATCTTAAAAGTGGGTATTGGCAGATAGAAGTTGACGAAAGAGATCGCGAAAAGACAGCGTTTGTGACACCGGACGGTTTATACGACTTCAAGGTACTCCCTTTTGGCCTTTGTTCAGCATCCGCCACATTCCAACGAATGATGGACACAGAGCTTTGTGGTCTTAAATGGCAGTCATGCCTGGTTTATCTCGACGATGTTGTAGTTTTCTCTGCTACCTTTGAGCAACATTTATAAAGGCTCCGAGCCGTGCTCATTGCGATCAAGTCAGCGGACTTGACGATAAAACCGCAGAAATGTCATTTCGGCTTCTGTGAGCTCCTTTTTCTCGGCCATGTCATCAGTGCAGAAGGCATCCGCCCAGACCCTGCAAAAACTGAGGCCGTAGCAAGATTTCCGAAGCCAACAGACAAAAAGGGTGTTAGGCGATTTTTACGTCTCTGCGCCTATTATCGACGGTTTGGTAAAAATTTTTCACGAATTGCTGAACCACTGACGCGGCTGACAAAAGAGGAAATGCCTTTCGTATGGCTTGCCGAACAAGAGGACGCCTTCAATGAACTACGAAAGTGCCTTCAAAGCCATCCTGTTCTAGCGCATTTTGACGAGGAAGCGGAAACCGATATCCACACGGATGCAAGCAATTTAGGTCTTTGGGCCGTGCTCATCCAATGGCAAAACGGACAAGAATGAGTCATTGCGTATGCCAGTCGCACTCTTTCGAAAGCTGAGGTGAACTACTCAGCGACCGAGAAAGAATGCATTGCCGTGGTATGGGCTATCAGCAAGTTTCGACCATATTTATATGGTAGGCCTTTTCGAGCTATAAGCGACCATCATTCGCTATGCTGGCTGGCTAATCTCAAGGACCCATGTGGACGGCTTGCACGATGGAGCTTGCGATTACAGGAGTATGATATCACGCTTGTGTACAAGTCAGGTCGCAAGCACAGTGATGCGGACTGCTTGTCACGTGCTCCAGTTCAACCTGCTGCTTCTGCTTCCACCGAGGATGGTGAAGATTTTATTTTCTTGGGAGCTGTGACACCATCAGAGATGGCACATCAGCAGTGATCTGACGCTGAGATACTCCTCTTGATCAAGTACCTACAAGGACAGTCTGTCGATGTTCCACGACCTTTTGTCCGTGGCTTGTCAGCGTTCGTCCTACGAAACAACATCCTGTATAAAAGGAACTTTGACAACAATACAGCGACATTCCTGCTTGTCGTCCCTTCACCTCTGCGACCAGAGATTTTGGAGGCTTGCCACGACGATTCATCAGCTGGACACTTAGGAGTAAGCAGAACGTTAGCACGCATCCGCACTAAATACTACTGGCCGAAGTTGCTTAGCTCTGTACGACACTATGTCAGAACCTGCCGGGACTGCCAAAGATGTAAAACGCCACCGCTAAAACCAGCAGGTCTCCTTCAAACGATAGAACCACCGGAAGCCCCATTCACACAAGTGGGAATGGACTTACTGGGCCCATTTCCTACGTCGTCATCGGGAAAACGGTGCATAATAGTTGCGACCGACTATTTAACCAGATATGCCGAGACAGCAACTCTTGTTAAAGGATCAGCCGTTAAAGTAGCCAAATTCTTCGTCTCCAACATCGTACTGCGGCACGGAGCTCCAAAAGCGTTGATCACGGACTGAGGGACTGCATTTACGGCCGACCTGATGAAATGTATTATGAAATTGACGCACACCAGTCATAGAAAAACGACGGCATATCATCCTCAAGCAAATGGTCTTACGGAACGACTGAACAGAACGCTGGCTGATATGTTGTCAATGTACATTGATATAGAACACCGTACTTGGGATAAAATATTACCCTATGCAACATTCGCCTATAACACTGCGATGCAAGAGGCAACACGGATGACGCCATTCCAACTTGTTTTTGGCCGGACGGTAACGACACCTTTAGATGCAATGTTACCTATTGACGAGATGCCCGAGAATTACTATGACGTTCACGACTACATACAAAGAGCAGAAGAAGCCAGACAGCTGGCACAATATCGCATTCTCCAACAGCAGAAAACCGACACGCATCGATACAATCTGCGAAGAAGAGACGTCCAGTACGCACCAGGAGACAGAGTATGGGTGTGGATTCCTGTACGAATACGTGGCCTGTCAGAAAAACTGCTTCGCCGCTATTTCGATCCATATAGAGTGCTCTGCCGCGTCGGCTCGCTCAACTACGAAGTTATGCCAGAGGGACAGGATATTTCATCCTGACGGCGGCACCGCACGGAAACTGTGCATGTCGTCAGGATGAAACCATATCACGACAGGCAATGAAACGCTGACGATACAACGTTCTTTGACGTTAACGACATCCCCGACGAGGGTTTGTGAATGACTGCCATGCAACCAGTTCGACACAAGCATCAGGACGATGCACTCTGGAAAGGGGGGCAGTGACACAATGCGACTTTAAACTACGCGCGCTAGCAAATACTTGTGCCTTCTAGATGATTTGCGATGCACGAGCCTGCGGGGCCCAGCTGCGCGCGAACCGTGTTGGAAAAAAGCAGAACGTAGAAGAAGAGGCAGAAGTGAATCCTCGAGACAATCTAGCTGTGTTATTATTCTCGGGCACAAGTTCGCCCTACGTACGTTAGCCTATTAAAAGAGTTCATTGAAGAGTGCGTTACAATATAGATACGTATACATGTACGGCGAATGACGGTGATGCCCATGTCGATGCCGACAGAAAAATTTAGCGAAGAGTGTCCATATAATTGCTATCACAATAAAAGTGTTGCAGGGCCCCTTTAAATGTGAAGTAAGGCTTCACGGCAGAGCCGATTTTCTTTGAGTAAGTGCTTTCATGGCTCAGGATCTCTATACTGCAGTAAAACCATTTTTACAGGCCGTACGTACAGATTAATATACATTTATCTGTTCATTGCGAATACTTCAAAATTTTCCCTAATTTAAATTTTAATCAAAGTGAATTCAAATACTTTACTATTCGTTCGAATATTCCCACAAGCCTAGTTACTGCCAACACTGCAATAATAAAGAGACGATTATTGATGCGGGACAAAAAGATGTGCAGAATGACATTTTATAATGTGGGGTGACCGTGCTTGGCGTACTCGATTCAAACAAGTTGCTTCTGAACTTTACCTTTTGTTTAGCCTCTTCTTCACATCTTTCTCTGCGCAGCAGCTCTTTGCGCAGCACTTCCCTGCAGCAAACAAAAAGTTTGGCAATTACAATCATAATCCCTAGTCAAAGTCGCTAGTAAGAGTACCAACTCACTAGTCAAAATCACTAGTCAGATCATTCCCCAGTCCAAATCGCTGCATTAATATCTAGTAGGAAAGTAGGGTAATTTTCTGAGTGGCTCGTTTTCTCTATGGTACACACCTAACAAAACCAACAAGCAATTCAGTCCAAGAAAGCTTATGGGACATTATCTGTGGTTTATTGATTGTATTGTAGCGATTGTAACTTAAATTCAAAGAAATTCAAGTGCAATAAAGATCGCCTTTTCCGACAATGGCATACGAACCTACAACCTTCAAACTACACATCCGATGCTTTACCGTTTGAGCTACAATGGAGGGTGCTCCCGTGTTTAAATTTTTTGTAGGGCATCTGAGTGCCTTCTGAGTGCGCTTAATTACCTGGGAGAGTTAGACAGCGCCACCTCCAGCCCAGGCTGCATAGTACTACTATCTAGTAATTGTTGGTGCTTTGTCTCCTAAAACCCCGAATTCGGTTATGAGGGATGCCGTGGTGGAGGGGCCCGGAAATTTAGTCTACCTGGGTTTGTATATGGGTGTACTTGAAGATGCGAACGCTAAGTAATGCTGTACCAGAACATTTCATCTCTGTAATAAATTTATAATAAGCCATGTAAGGCCATGAATCCAGATGTTTTGCATTAGTTAAAATTTAAATATATAAGTTAAAATGTTAAATATACAAATCTCCCTTAATTTTCATGCTCCAAGTCCTAAGTGGTGCTTTCATAGATGAAACATTTAGACAGCTTGGTCAGGATTTCCTATCCCTAAAAAAGAAAATGGCATACTATATTGTAATGAGAGTTCAATTTTAATGCTAGCAATGGACTGTGTAGAAGATTTTGGATGATCCGCAGAACCACAGTGTGTGGCAGCAGTAAGTACCAAGAAAATGCTTACTTTGTGTGAATGAGCTTTCGCTCAAGCTCGCCATTCGTTTCCTTCAACGATGCTATCTGTTCTTTGAGCTCTGCGTTTTCCAGGATTGCGGCATGCCACTGCTTACGGCACGCTTCTTGGTTACGCACAAATTCCAAAATTAACTCTGAAAAATTTGAAACGATATTGGTTTCAGTATAGCAACTACTCAAACACAGATAAAATACATCGCTGCTCCTTGTGATGAGAAAAATCAGCAGTAAAGATACGTGAATCAACCACAAGCCGGACGCTATACACTGAAACCTCGATATAATGAACCCGGATATAACAAAATATCGGTTATAACAGTAAACTTAGGGTAGCTTTGCAGGAAATATAATGTTAAGAATATACAGCCATAACAAATTTTTGGATATAACAAACTCAATTTCGTGCAAGATAAAGCTTTGTTATAATGAGGTATGAGTGTACTACATTTCACACATAAAGTGCAATGCTGTGGAGACTAGTGAGACTGCTTGCAGTAGGAGTGTTTGCATTAAGAAATAAGTCAACGTTCTTACCATGCAGAATAGGATTTTCTTTTTGTTGTGCAACGAGTAGTAATCGAAGATGTTTTGTACCATACAAACAAGCAAACAAACACCACTATAAGACTTATGGGGCTGAATTGCTCGCCATTTATTTGTTTTTCGTTTCGGTATTTCACTTGCTGCCCTTTGCGGAGCGTCACTCTGAGACTGTGCTCGACTCGCAGGAGTGTTTCAACGATGCAAGCCAGCCACGAGATGCGCAGAGTTGCGCATTCTGCAGACCGAAATTCTTGAATAGCTTCCATAGCATTACATGTGTGAAACTGAGTACAGAATTGCAACACCCTTCTTTTATGTCATTCCGGAAGTGGAAAGTTTCATGAAGTTTCTATGAAAAAGATTCAACCACAAACATTTTTCCAGCTATAGTAGGATACAACTTTTTAATACTTTTTTAATGGATACATCACTTCCCCCTCTAATTGCACCTGCACAAGCCTGCACCAATGGGTGTGCACGCAAGACTGATGTCTAGAGCCAGCTGGTTCGTAATCACACCTTCGGGGAATGTCGCCAAGTGCACGACTACTTCTTTAGTCTCGGAGGCGATCGGGATGCAATAACTCTGTTAGTTGAGATGAGTACAGAGAGAGAGAAAGAGTGAGATAAATAAAGAAATCTCTAAGGAAAAAAAAACTCTTGAGAGGCAAGATTTGAGCCGGTGTACGCATGATCGAAAGAAGAGTGTCTTAGCCGCCTGGCTCAGAGCCTTGTATGGTATAGTTTGCCAAAAGGGTGGGAAAGAGAAGTGATGATGAGAAAGGAATGTAGCACGGAATACAGTAAACTATAGCTTAAAGAGAGCAAAAGAAAAGAATAGAAACAAAGAAAAAACAGCGAGAGGATACAAAAACAGGAAGAAAAAGAAAAATAGCTTCCTTCAGGCTTGACCCCTAGTGCAAAGCCGCTTTAATTTTTAATTATTTTGATAGACAAGATTATGCAGCCTGAACCAGCTGTTCGGCACGCTGTTAAGTGTCATAGCAGTGCACGTGCCCCTTAAGCCTCCAATTCGCAAAATACATTGAAACCACGAAAACAAATGAAGGGTCTCACAGCGCCAAATATGAGTGTGTGGGTCATTCACACCGCACAGTTGTGCAGAGGAGGACGGGGTGGAGGTCTATGACCTCCATTTCATCCATTTAAACACGACTTTTTTGCTCCGAGATATTTGCTATACCCATTGAAACATTTTGTATGTCATTCCAATTACTTCGTATGTTATCCTTACAGAATCCATGAAGTCTTTCAGATATTTATGCAGAGTTACTATGGAAACACAGAATTATTGGAATGGCGTACCGAACTTTTCAATAGCACATATACTTTAAGACAGGAACATAAAGCCTTAGACACAGAACAATGACAAACAAAAGTGCTGAACTGTTAGTTCAGCACCTTCGTCTATGGTTCTTAACTAGCAAACCAATAAACCAGCCATAAGCCAGTGGTTGTAAACCACTGGCTTATGCAGTGGAAGTGCAGTGGATTCAGAAGCTTTGCACAGAAGATCAATAAATACACAGTATCTGCATGGATAAAGAAAAGAAATCATCTCATATTACATGTGTTGGCAAATCAGGCTTCCACGCTTTTAACAAGCAAGCAACGTCAAAGCCATGCATAGAATTAGAGGGCACACTGACGCAAGCGTTTCCACATGTATGAAAATGGTAAGCTTCACTTGACTCCCACACTCTCAGTTCTCTGTATATTTTCAAAATAGTGTACTGCTTGTGAAATCACTTGCTTGTTAAAAACCTGGTAGCCTGTTTTACTCATGCATGCAACGTGACCATTTCTTATTTTTGCATGGATACTGTACGTTCGTTGGTCCCCTGTGCAAAGCTCCTAAATGTTTTCCCAGCAGTAAATCAGTGTTTGGTAGTTCTGTAATGTTATGTCCGGTGTTGTCGTCGGCCCATAGACGTACGCGTTGGTCCCGGTAGTCCAAAAAGCTCAGACAGCCTCGAACGGTTAAAAACAAGTTTATTCCTATTCGGATGGAGGCGGCGGCCGAACTGCCGGGGAAAACGAACGGTGGCTCGTTTGCGCCGAGCGGGGGAAGGGGAGGAGTCAACATCTGGAAGCAGTTTCAGCATCCGGTCCTTCGCGGGTTCGGAGGCTCGCTCGTGACACAGGGGTGCTTGGAACACATCTCCTCCCCCCTTAGATTGTCGCTTGGAAGCGATCTGGGGGCCGCCGTGGGCACGTGGACGCTCTGGACGCACTAGGAAGAGAAGCCTCCGCTCGCTGGGTGTCGTTTCTCTTGTGTTCAGGGCCGGCAGGCGGCGGCGCCGATTCATCTGGTGCGAGATGCCAGGCTAAGTGGAACGAATCTTCCGTCGAGGCGGAGGAGATGTTGTGTTGTCTGAAGAGAAAGCGCGCGATGCGGCGTTGCATTGTCCCAGTCTGGTCTTTCGTAAGGGCGCGCTTTAGCTCAGCCACGTAGCGCTCGGCTTGTCCGTTCGTAGCCGGGTGGTAAGGAGCTGATGTAACAGACGAGACGCCGTTGTCGCTGTAAAACTTGAGAATCTCCGTGGACACAAACGGAGTGCCGTTGTCCGAGACCACCTTGCGCGGTAGGCCAAACGTTGCAAACAACGACCGCAGAGTGTCGATAACTGCTGCCGATGTCGTTGTAGCCATTTGTTTTACCTCCAGCCACTTGGTGTATGCGTCTACAACCACCAGGAACGAACACCCTTCGATAGGTCCAGCAAAATCAATGTGCAGGGTGTGCCAAGGCGTGTCTGGTCTTTCCCATTCAGGAATAGGGGCTCTTGGCAGGCTTCTGTGGTTGCCTTGGCAAGGCTGGCAATCGTGAACTGTTAATTCTATATGATGGTCGATACCAGGCCACCACATATAACTTCTGGCGCACTTTTTCATGGCAACAATGCCTCGATGACCTGCGTGGACAAGCGACATGGCCTGTTCGCGAAGTGCCGCTGGAATTACAACTCTTGATCCCAAGGTGACGCAACCGCGATGAGTGCTCAACTCCGCAGCTCGCTTGCGGTAAGCGTTGAAGTGTTCACCCTTTAGCTTCTGCACGTTGCCTTCTTGTATAGCTGCGTAGACTTCCTTCAAGACAGTGCACTCCTGCGTTGATGCTGCTATCGTGTCAGCTGTTAGCGGAGGGTTCGGCAGCGCCTCGAACATGAGTATATCACCCGGCGGAGGTGGTTCATCTATTGTGGTGTCTAGCGGCAGGCGGCTTAGTGCGTCGGCGTTCTGGTGTTTCTTCCCAGTGCGATGTACGAGTTCGTAATCGTACACCGACATCTTGATGCACCATCGTGTCATTCGCGGCGACAATGTCTGTGGCATTGGCTTCTGGGGACCCATAATACCCAATAAGGGACGATGATCTGTTATGAAAGTCACTTTCCTGCCGGTAATGTACTGCCGAAAGTGATCTGCTGCGTAGACAATGGCAAGTCCCTCTTTATCTAGCTGGGAATAATTCCTCTCTGCCTGCGATAGGGTGCGCGAAGCAAAAGCGATCGGGGCTTCCCGTCCCTGGTCGTCAACTTGGGAGAGGACTGCTCCCACTAAGTATGATGATGCATCACAGGCTAGCAGTAGGGGGTCTCCTTTCGTCGTAGTGTCGCAGAACAGTAGACTTGCGAAGTAGTTGCTTAAGGGCAACAAATGACTCTTGGTGGCGTGGCGACCAAGTCCATGGGACTTCTTTCTGCAGGAGCTGATATATATCGTTGGTCACTGTAGCTCGATGTTCTAAGAACCGGTCGTAGAACGTCAATAGCCCCAAAAACGACTGCAGTTCTTGCTTGTTAGTAGGCGCTCGTGCTTCGGTGATTGCACGCACTTTGTCTTCAGAGGGATGTATACCCTGCGTGTCAATTTGATGTCCAAGAAACTTCACTTCAGGCACCGCAAAACACATTTTTCTTTACTGATGCGCAAATTAGCATTTGCTAGCCTTTCCAAAATGAGCTCCAAGCGTTCTGTGTGCTCTTCATTGGAGGCGCCACCGACAATAACATCGTCCAAGTAGACGCAAACACCTGGGATCCCGCTAAGTGTAGACTCCATAAATTTCTGGAAGATTGCTGGCGCTGCAGATATTCCGAATGGTAGCCTTTTAACTTTGTAAAGACCCTTAATAGTGTTTATTGTGAGCAGTTCAGACGTTGATTCGCTCACCTTCAGCTGCTGGTAGGCTTGTGTCAAGTCCAAGGTGCTGAAGATTTTTCCACCACGAAGCGTGCTAAAAACCTCTTCCGGTGTCGGCAGTGGGTAGGAAGATGCTTTTGTCGCCAGGTTGACAGTGCTCCGGTAGTCCCCGCAGAGGCGTAGGGTACCGTTCTTCTTTCGGACAACAACGAGTGGTGTCGCCCATTCCGAATGTTGCGTCGGTTCGATGATCCCTTGTTCCTGCAGTCGGTCAAGCTCATTCTCGACTGACGTTCGTAGGGCGAAAGGCACCGACCTAGCTTTCAAAAATTTCGGCGTCGCATCCTCCCGCAGCTCCAGTGTGACTGGAGGTCCGTTGTTCCCTGGTATTTCTTCGGAAAAAACCGCTTTGTACTTATCTTAAAGCTGCTCCACTGACGGATAACTGAGTGTGTGGTGAACTCCGCCAATGACCACTCCAAGGGGGGTGAACCAATTTCGTCCTAAAAGGCTTGATCCAGAACCGTGGACGACTAGCAAGGGGAGCTGATGGGTCTGCCCATTGTAGTACACGTCTACGTTGGCACAGCCCAGCAGTGGAAGGGAATGTCCGGACCACGTTCTCAGCTGCGTGTCATCTTGCTGGAGAGCTGGCGCGTTCTCACGCCAAGTAGCGCGAAAAGTGTCCTCGCTGATGAGCGTACATGCTGCTCCGGAATCCACCTCAAACCTGATAGGGCGCTGGTGTACCATAATTTCAGTTGTAATCTTCGGTCTCGTTCCGGGGTTCACAACGGCGTTTAAGTCATATAGTGCCGATGACGTTAGTGCAGTTCGGCTTGTATCTTGCGTCTGGCCCTCCTGTGCATCGACATTGTTGTTCCGTTGTACTGAAGTCTTCGGTCCGAGCTGTTTGCGCTTCGAGATGCATGCCCTTTCAATGTGTCCCAGTTTTTGGCAAAAATTGCAGGTCGCTGTCTTGTATCGACATACCTGGGGATCGTGCATGTCGTCGCATCGCCAACAGCGCTGTGTCTTTCTGCTTGATTTCGCCTTAGACGTGGATTGACCTGACTGCTGACTGGTGTGATGCACCGGCTCGACGTTCCGTCGAATATCCCTCTGCTGGTGACCGGCGCTCTCCGCTCGTTGGGCGATGTCGTAGGCTTTGGAGAAGGTGAGACCCGTCTCCGCGAACAGGCGTTGTTGTAGGCCTGCGTCATGCAGTCCGCACACAAAACGATCACGCAACATAACGTCCAAGGGGAGCATAGTGGTGTTAGCAGGTGTGGCAGTCGATCCTCCCTCCTGCGCAGTAGCTGCAGCTGTCGCGGTCAACGTCCCGAAATTGCAGTCAGCAGCGAGCTTTTTGAGAGCCGCTACGTATTCGGCCACTTTTTCGACTTCCAGTTGGTCTCGCCGTTGGAAGCGGGCTCGACAGTAGACTCCGATGGCCTTGGGTCATAGTGCTCTTGTAGCGCTGCTACGATGTCGTCGTAGTCAACAGCTGCTGGAGTGCGTGGCTGAATCAGGGCACAGACTGTGTCGTAGGTCTGCTCCCCACACAGCGTTAGCAGGTTGGCCCTCTTCATTGCTGCATCAGTGATGTTGTTAGCCTCGAAGTAAAATTGCAGGCGTCCAAACCACGATGACCATGATGAGCCGTTGAATTCGGGTAGCCGATTTGGGAGCCCGTGCGTAGCCATAGCTTGTAGCTTGTCAATATCGTTGCGTAGCGTTGGTCCAAATCTCATCCTCGTCGCCACTGTTATGTCCGGAGTTGTCGTCGGCCCATAGACGTACGCGTTGGTCGCGGTAGTCCAAAAAGCTCAGACAGCCTCGAACGGTTAAAAACAAGTTTATTCCTATTCGGATGGAGGCGGCGGCCGAACTGCCGGGGGAAACGAACGGTGGCTCGTTTGCGCCGAGCGGGGGAAGGGGAGGAGTCAACATCTGGAAGCAGTTTCAGCATCCGGTTTTTCGCGGGTTCGGAGGCTCGCTCGTGACACAGGGGTGCTTGGAACACAACATGTAATATATCTGTTGTTCTGACAATTACGTATGTGCAACAGGCTTGTGGAGTAGGCAAAGTTCAATATGAAGAGTGTCAATGTGCAATTCCATAAGCTCAGCAACGTGGCATACAAACGGATTAAATTACATACAAATGTGCCCGAGCATACAGCAGTGGTCAATAATTGCCATTATGAAAATGCATGCACGCGTCTCAATATGTACTGTCGTGGTCAATATGACTGAACACGGGAGCGTGTGGCGGCACAATATCCAAGATCACCAATGTCTTCCGCTGGTCCTTACTTTTTGAACTACGTGCTCTTACAACATCAACATGCCTAACATTCACAGTCCAGCTGAGAGAGCAGGGCCTACAGCAGCGTTTGGTGTTACAGGCTGGTAGAAACAAACCCACGGACTCACCTTCTGCTGCCGTGTCCGCGAACGTGTTGTGCCGTCGGCAGAAGTCGTCAAACTGGGCCACCAGGGAAAGCCGAGAGCCGCCTGGTAACATGTTCATGGCCTCTGTGAAAAACGAGGGTCCAGGAATATAGGCCACAAACTACCAGGGGCCGAAAGGAATAGGTTATCATCGAACTGCTACCACAGTAGTAGCATATGTAGGGTCACCCTCCCCCTGCCTCCCACGAATAAATTTCTTGCTACACAGGGGCCGCACACACACCACACAAATTTTCATCAGACCCCCCCTCCCCTTTTCTTCATAGTAGCAGAATAGAAAGTTGGGCCAGATTGTACAATAGCATCGTTAAAGCAGCTCAACAAGACGTAGACAAAAAAAAAAAGAACATTTCTTACCTTCGGGCTCTCCCCTCCTTTTCAATGGAACTCACTTCTTGTGCTTGACACCCCCCTTTCTATGTCTCTTCGTAAAGTAATTCTAGCTGGTGCTACCGTTGACAGTGTACAAACGTAGGTACAAATTTGTTTTCGGGGAGTGGGGGGGGGGGAGGCACGGGCCTGGTGTGTCCACCCCATCGTCGCACCACTCTCTCAGCTTACCAAAGCCCAGGCTCAATGCATGGGCATCGGAAGAGGGGTGCGAAAGGGGCACTGCCTCCTTTGGGTCACACAATAAGCACATGCCCCCCCCCCCCCCCCCTAACTACATCAGCGCCGGCCCCTACCCCAACCGCGATGGGACACGGTTTCGCACCACCCAAGACAAAATCCCGCTGACGCCCACGGTTCAGTGCTTCGTAGAAGGGCAAACACGGCTTTTTATAAGACGAAAACACAAGCAAATACTGCAGTCCTAGAGGAAAACTTTCGATGGTCAATTGCAAATGCCATCTGCGCAGAAAAGCGAGGATAAAAAGGACACGTTTGTCTTGTTGTTTCTCTCCTTCGTGTTCTTGTTTGTATTTTTTCTCTTGCGCCAATGGCATTCGCAACTACTACAGCCTGACGAAAAGAGGAATGGGGTACACGACTAGAACAGCGCGAAGGACGGGACGATCGAGAAGGGAACGCAAACACCAGCACAACGTGTGTGTTCCCTTCTCGATCGTTCCGTTCTTCACGCTGCTTTAGCCGTCGTCTACAATGCAGCACCAACCCAACCAAACCAATGAAGCACACTGTTAGAGGAAATGAGACATCACTCTGGGTAACGGACGCATCAGTCGCTCACAGAAACAACTTAAATGCTGCATGCAGAAGGAACGCACCTTTATTTTCGGTGCTCAGGGACTCCGGAAGGAGCGGGTCGGTGCGCCGCAAGAGTTCAAAGTTGGACACGTTAAAACAAGCGAGTCGCCGACGGTCGTTGTTTATATCAACCGCCGCGTCCTCCTCGAGCTGGCAGTCGTTAGATTGGTTCGCCTAACCGCCGCTGCGTGACGGGCCTGGCAGGACAACAAGCGCGCGTGGTTCAAAGCGGTAAGCAGCTGAAAAAAAAAATAAGGAGAGGTTTGCAGTGTTCATTTATTAAGAAAACAGAGAAAAAATTGTATAGCCAGATTCGTCGCAAGCGTGATTAAGTGGTTAAGGTTTCTTGGCCAAAACATAGCCTTCAAGTGCAGTTATTGCGATTCGGAGAAAAAATTGCTGTAGCGTGGAAATGCGATGAGTTTTTGTTATTAATGATTTAGGTGTTGCTGTGGCACAGGCGAATTATTAACTGCGGCCATAAAAATGGTGAACACTAAGTGTTTAAACCACAAATAAGCGCAACCACACCAAAGACATTGATGAAAAATAGGCTACAAATATATGTTCTAGCTGTGTTATCCGCGTCTGAGTTAATCGTGAAGGAAGGCCATCACGGCCGGTCCAGAGGCGCGCACGAATCCAGACTGGCTATGCTATCATATGAATGTTGTAGATCACACTGATAATGCGTACGTATGTCATATTGTGACCAGCCAATGCAGGCAGCGCGGCGATAATACTGGCGGGTAACCATTGTTGCTAGCGGCACAAGGACACCCATATCTTATCGCTCTTTTCTCTTGAGCGCAATGGCGCGATCATTCACTCTACGAAAAGATGAGTGAAAAAATAATACGCTTTTCCTTTTTTGTCTCAGAACAACAACAACCGTCATCCGGCTTGCTTGCGCTTACTTTTGAATTCTTGAAAACTCGGCACTGACCAGTTTCTATCAAGTGATATTTAGGGCACGCTAATATCGCACATACTGCTCGCGGCTTAAAAGTGCCGGGCATGTGATAATGCAAGAAAATAAACGCAAGAAAAAATGACGCTTCTTGTTATGGGACAGAGCGTCGCCCTTTTCCCTCGATCTTTTTCTTGTGAGAAAACACCCTCGATCGCTTTCTCTTCATTACAGTGCCAGGGAAAGACTCTTCGGCTAATCTTATCATCACTCAATTTCCTTCATGGCGGCTGGGTGGCGGGGAATTGAGGCGCTGTGCTTTTAGGGGAACTCGGCCACATGCTAACATTTCGGGGAGGCTCCAGCCCCCTCCCCCCTCGTGTTCCCCGCGGCCGCCGCCTTTGGTTCCCTCAAACGTTATCAGACAAGGAGCCACAAGGACTCCCAGTGAAAACGGGAGTTACTGCAACAAGTAGCTCCAAATGAGCGGGTAAAAGCAAGGCGTGGAAAGTGTGCAATTTAAAATTTTGATGTGTATAATGATTCCAGCAATATTGTTACGGGAGAATAACTTTACTTTATAAAACGAGGAATAAACTCGGTGGTGGACAAGATGGCGCCCAGTTGGCTCACAGATCTGACAACATCGTCCTCCTCTTTGTCTTCTTCGTCGTTTTTATCCTACCGTTACATGATTTCCCCGGCGGCTGGAGCACCGACCCGGTGCTAATCAGGAGGCACTGGAGTAATACGGTTTGAGTCGCGTAACATGCACTACGTCAATGTGAGGGTGAAGGATGGCGGGGTCCGTAGGGGTGATTTCGTATGTGACGTCAGTTACTTGGCGTAAGATACGGTAGGGACCTGAATAGCGTGGGAGTAACTTCTCCGAAAGTCCAACGCGGCGCGAGGGGAACCATAACAGAACGAGATCTCCGGGTGTGAAGTGGACGTCACGATGGCGGGCGTCGTATACGCTCTTCTGATTGTCCTGGGAGTCCAGTAAGCGTCGTCGAGCAACTTGGCGTGCCGCTTGGGCCTTCATTATTGCATCACGAGCGTACTGAGACTTGTCATTTAGTCCGGCCGGCAGGAGGGTGTCGAAAGGTAGCGCAGGGTCACGGCCGAACAACAGAAAAAAAGGAGAGAACCCAGCGGTGTCGTGTCTGGAAGAATTGTACGCGAATGTTACAAACGGTAACGTAGTGTCCCAGTCGCGGTGATCGGCGGAGACATACATGGAGAGCATGTCGGTGAGAGTGCGATTGAGGCGCTCCGTTAGACCATTTGTTTGTGGATGGTAAGCAGTCGAGAGCTTGTGTTTAGTGGCGCAGGAGCGGAGGAGGTCATCAACCACTTTGGAAAGGAAGTAGCTGCCTCGGTCGGTAAGGAGTTGTCGAGGGGCGCCATGATGTAAGATGACGTCCTCCAAAAGGAAATCGGCCACGTCAGTTGCACAGCTGGTTGGAAGGGCCCGTGTGATCGCGTATCGGGTAGCATAATCGGTTGCTACTGCAATCCACCGATTACCCGCAGCTGACGTAGGAAAAGGGCCAAGCAGGTCCACGCCAACACGGTAGAATGGGTCTTGTGGGATGTGCAGTGGCTGAAGACGTCCGGCCGGAGGGGCATTTGGTTTTTTCCGTCGTTGACAAGGGTCGCAGGCTGCAATATAACGGCAGACGTCGCGGTACATGCCAGGCCAGAAGAAGCGCCGGCGAACTCTGTCGTAGGTCCGTGACACGCCGAGGTGACCCGCTGTAGGTGCATCATGAAGCTGGGCGAGAACAGTGTGACGCAATTGAATGGGAACGACGAGTAGTCTTTCGGGGCCGTCAGGACGCATATTGCAACGGTACAATACACCATCATGTATTTCAAACATTCGAAGGGAAGGGTCGGGCCTCTCCGATGTGAGCCTTCGGATAATACCGTCCAAGAAAGTATCTCGTCGCTGCTCGATTCCAATGTCATGAAACGCGGATAGAGAGAAAACGTCGATAGGAAGGGTGGTTTTAGAGGAGTCGCCGTCTGGAGGGTCGACAGGATACCGGGACAAGCAGTCCGCATCTTGATGCAGGCGGCCGGTTTTATACAGGACTGAGTAATCAAATTCTTGAAGGCGCAGCGCCCAACGGCCAAGACGGCCTGAAGGGTCTTTAAGGGACGAAAGCCAGCACAAGGCGTGGTGATCTGTGATTACTGTGAATGGCCGGCCGTACAAATAGGGACGAAATTTACCGACTGCCCAAACAAGTGCCAAACATTCCCGTTCGGTTATTGAATATTTTCTTTCAGCAGGCGAAAGAAGGCGGCTGGCATAAGCAACAACACGGTCTCGTCCTTGTTGTTTCTGGGCGAGGACTGCACCGATGCCATAGCCACTTGCGTCTGTACGAACTTCTGTTGGAGATGAAATATCAAAGTGGGCGAGGATAGGCGGAGACGTAAGCAGACACACTAGATTTTGAAACGCATCTGCTTGCTCAGGGCCCCAAATGAAGCCAGCGTCTTTTTTGAGAAGTTGAGTGAGAGGGCGTGCTACGTCGGCGAAGTTTTTAACAAAGCGGCGGAAGTAAGAACAGAGGCCAACGAAACTGCGAACGTCTTTGGTACAGGTTGGTACAGGGAAATCTCTTACTGCGCGTATTTTATCTTGATCAGGGCGAACCCCCACGGAATCAACGAGGTGTCCGAGGACAGAAATTTCACGACGGCCGAAGTGGCACTTTGCCGAATTGAGTTGCAGGCCCGCCTTACGAAAGACAGATAAGATTTTCGATAGCCTTTCAAGGTGCGTCGCAAAAGAAGGCGAAAAAACGATAACGTCGTCCAGGTAGCACAGGCAGTGACGCGAAATGTGGCCTATACGACCGCAATTGAAGCATATCGGCCGGTCGTCTGGGGTGCGCCATACCGCCGGGTCGCGATAATGTGGGCTGGCAGAAAAACGTCGGTTGGGCGGGACAGTCACGGGTGGATTTGGTGTGGCGTAGTCTGGACGATGAATGGAGCAGACGTTTAAGCCGGCGTTGGCCAGTTCTTGCCTCACGACGGTCTGTATGAGAGAGACGGTGGCGTGATAGCTTTCGGAGTTGGGGGAAGCTGACACGAGTGGAGCTGCGGCTTCTATTTCCCGACGGACAATACGGACAACGTCACCGGGACTTTCCGTAGAAGGCAGGCGAGGGTCTTCGCATGTGGACGTTGCAGCCGTGTTTGGAAGCCGGGCAAACTGGTGGAGAACACGGCGGCTCTTCGCTTCTTCAAAGCGCCGGCATTCAGAAATAATGTCGTGGACCGTAGATGAATTCTTGAACACAAGAAGGTGAAAGGCGTCATCTGCTATGCCCTTAATAATATGGCCAACCTTATCGGCTTCGGACATCTGCGAGTCTACCTTGCGGCACAAAGCGAGCACGTCCTGAATGTACGTGAGGTATGATTCGGTGCACGTCTGAACTCGACGTGCGAGCTCGTTTTGGGCGGCGCGTTGACTTCCCACAGGCCTGCCAAATAGCTCCCGGAGCTTTTGCTTGCATAACTCCCAGCTAGTCAGTTCTTCCTCGTGCGTCTCGTACCAGACCTTTGCGGTACCTCTGAGATAAAAAATCACGTTGGCCAGCATGAGCGTTGGATCCCATCGCATACGTACACCCACTCGTTCGTATGACTTCAGCCAGGCTTCTACGTCAATGCCATCAGTGCCAGAAAAGGTACCTGGATCTCTCGGGGGCTCCAAGATGAGGGTTGACGGTCCAGTTGGAGAAAGCACGGACGTAGTTGGAGAAGGCACGGTAGACGGGGAAGGGTCGGCATTGTTGACTGCAGTCGCCATGGGGGAGACCACTAGGCGCCCGCTACGAAGCTCCGTTTTGCGTGAAGTGAGTACCCCGCACCTCCCACCAATGATGTTACGGGAGAATAACTTTACTTTATAAAACGAGGAATAAACTCGGTGGTGGACAAGATGGCGCCCAGTTGGCTCACAGATCTGACAACATCGTCCTCCTCTTTGTCTTCTTCGTCGTTTTTATCCTACCGTTACAATATTTCCGAGTTTTTCAGCAATATTGTTAAAAAAACAGGTTACTGACCCATATTTATTCATTTTATTTATTCAGAATACCCTGCTGTGCCAAAAGGCGAGTAAGCAGGGGGGGTTACAGCTTTGGAAAAAAAAAAAAAACAAATCATCACACTTGGTCAAAAGACAAATGATTCCACTCTACTA